TGTAAAACACATAAAAACTGTAAAATAACAAAATAATCACCTACTTTTAAACAGCGAATTTTCGTAAAAAGGCGGATTTTTGTTCAAAGAAATATTCTTGACAACAAATTACCTCCGCTCCTGAAATTTAGAATTTTGTAAATGGCGGCCATTTTTTCTTTCTCGACTCGGATAAAAGATGCAACAGAATGTAGGGGCCTAACACGATAAAAAATTCTTTACCTTTTATTTAAACATCGATCCAAAAAATCCCTTAGAATCACATAAACTTTACTGCACTTTTTGTCTTGAATCGTCAAATTTCTAAAAGTTTACATAGTTTCAATCAAAACAAAAGTCAAATCGGCAATCAAACACAAGCTTACAATAACCTGGTCTTATTTTTTTAAACGAAACAATTTGCTTCACTTAAAAATTTTTTTCCCGGGGGCAAAAAAAAAAAATTTTAAAAGTTAACATTTACAACTTCTCAAAGAAAACCGTCAGGCTATCGTTTGTTTTTTTACATGGGTACTGTATAGTATGACGTGAACATTGATGATTTCATTGCAATAAATTATCACTCATTTAGTTGGTTGTTAAAACTATTCGCTGTCTAATTTATTCGTAATTGAAATCAATATATATTGCATCTTGATTCAAGGGTATGAAATTACATTGTAGAATTCACATGCTGATGAAAATGAGAATATAAGCAATTGAAAAAAATCCGTTTAAATGGGCGGGGCTTATTTTTGATATCAGGTTACTGACCTGATATCAAAAATAATTATCAGGCAAGTGTTATCGGGCAGTTACCATAGCAGTTGCATGATAAATAGAATTATTGTTTGAAATTAATTTTTGTCCAATGAGATTGCAGTATTTCAAATGAATCGTAACACATTTACTTTGGTAAATTGGCAAATTGTTATAATTAAATGGTCGCGTGTGTATATAAACGAATGATATATTAATTCTGCTAGCCTGTCTCGCACCAGTTACCTAGGCACCGAAGTATTTAAGTTGTAATTTCGCGTTTTTACAAAACGCCGGCAAAAACAAACCCCTGTTTTTTTTTTTTTTTTTTTTATTGCAAATTGCCGAAAAATTAAATTCTACTTCTGTTCTCCTTTAGTCCGGATTTGTCCATTTTATTGTAAAAATTTGCACCAGCCGATATGCAAATTACGATATTACAAACAAAGCTGCAAGCAACGGATAATATCCGCCAATTTTAAAAGTACTGAAATAAATCCCGTTCCATCGGCCCTTAACGTTGATATATTTTGTAGATGTTGATTCATATATGCCATATGATTGTGTACAAATTGTAAGGGTATCACATTTTACATTTTATGTTAATAATGATTTATCATTTTGTTGACCGTTTTATCACTGTAACAATAAATATTTTTTGCTTCGTAGGAATCGGTTTGTAATATTCGCACCTTAGAAGTTTCAAAAGTAATCTTCTTTCAGACTTATTTCAAAAAAAGACAAAGATACGACTAGACAAACATATAAATATCCCTTTGGAGATGATTGTGTCAATATTAAATCTCTGTTGTAAATGACCCGGCTAGACTAAACACCATTGTGTAAAATCACGATCATTTTCTTAATTAAAGAGATACTGTAAAGTTTTTAAAATATTTTAGATATTTATATACCTTCCAGGAAATTATTATATATTGTGAGGTTATTATACATTGTTTATTACAATACTGAATTCTATTGATGTAAAACTATATTGATCGAGAGCCTAGCCAAGTCTGATATGGTTTTGTTTCAGTTTCGAACGAGTGCAATAGAATCAGCAATGTTTTCAACCATGTTACCTCTTTCTTTCACACCACCATTTTTTACATTTTGACAGAATTTTGTTACTTCAATAAAAATAATTAATTGATATGGATTTTGGACTCTTAAAAATGAAAATGAGACTATATGCTGTGCGATATTTATTTGATATAAACCTTTTGGACTCTGGAAATGAAAATGAGGCTGTAAGGAGAATGATATGGATTTGATATGGGCGTTTTGGAATCTGGAAATGAAAGTTGATAAGATTGTAACCAATAATGATTTATATTGGAACGTCACTGGTGCGAAAACTCAAAGTGCATTGATTATATTTTATAAGGTATATATAAATCGATATATATATACATATAATCTCAAGGTCATAACTAAACAAATATTGGCGTCATATTTCCAAATGAACGTTTACAACATTTAATGCTTAAAAAGTACCATATCTGTATATATGAATAGGATATCAGAAAACATCTCCATATAATATGTTGAACAATAATATTGAATCAAAACATTGAGACGAAAGAAATTATCTGAAAATGTTGATATTTCAAACTCAAGAAAGACCAATTCCCAAGAGATCGATACTGCGATTGCATCATTTATTTACAGGTGACAGAAATCATTTTGTAAGAATAGGATGCCGGTTCTAGATGAGTCTAGACAAAAAGTATAGAAATGAAATCTTGTTTGTGAATTCTTATCCAGTAAATTTTCGTCGAAATATTCCATGCGTTTCATAAAGAATCGTAAGTCTAAAACATAAGACTTAAGTTATGACTGGAATACGATTGAAGATTGCACTTAGGAGTTAGGACTGTCCTAACTTTTGTACTTCGGACTAGTCCTAAATATTTACTCGAGACAAAATCTTCCTAATGGAGATAAAAATATTCACTTGTTCCTTATCCTGTATTATGTCATTGTCAAGTGAAATAATGTAGAATGGCGGATGATTAAATATAATAATGCTGTAAAATTGACATTTATACATTAATATTTCTTATGCATTCACAGTTTTTCACTTAGGACTAAAATCGGTACTAAGATTCTTAATGAAACGCACCCTGTTGGTGTATTTCAAGAGGCTATATTAAAGTGGCAATTTTGATCAGATGTTTCCTTAATTGTAGGTGTTTCAAAAGAGTCCTGAGGTAGGCATTCAGTACACAAATGATATTATAGAACAGCATTAAAATTTTATTTATTGGTTTAAGCCATTGTGTTATATATAACGGCAATAATTGTGCATAAACTTGCCCCCTCAGGTCTAAATATTTGAACTGGAACATTTATTTAAACAATTGGTCAGTCGTTGTTGCGCTACGTAGAGAATCATATTATATATATTACACCAATTACATTACATATGACAAATATACACTAAACAGTGAAACATTATACAGAAAACATGAAAAAAGCGGGAAATAGATCGTTCTTTTTAAATAATCTCCTTTAAAACTGCATGCCTCTAGATAAGCCAAAATATATATTTCTAAATCAAACTTGAGAAAACGGTAGTAAGATTTTAAGAAAGTATAACGATTCAATATTCAAGTAATAAATTACATGTTATGTTCGATAAACGACTGTTTTGTTTTGTTTGTTCGTTTTTTTTGGTTGTTTCTTTTTCAAGTATTTATCACCATATTTATTCGGCGTTAATGACGCAGTAAAGGCTATTTTTGCCTATATTTTGACATCTTTTTGGTAAATTACATGGACTGTCAGCACCGTTTACAATGTGTAAATTAAAACTTTTGTTCACTTTACAATATTAGTCTTTCAAATACATTTTATAAATTGTCAAAAAAAAATGAAGCATGAATCTGGAGGCAGGCTGCTTTAAAAAACCACGATGCCGCTTAATTAAGTCAGATGATTTGTGTAAGTAAAATGTAAAAAATGTAAAAATAAGCTTATTGTTGTTTTCTTCAAATAGGATAATATCTGAATATATAAAATCAATTCGCAAGAATTAACAAAGCGGTCAACCGATATAACACAATGCACATGCATTATATATCTTATGTATCAAATCTCATTCATGTACAGTATATAAGGCCAGCCTTTAAAATATCTTTGTTTCCCCGCCCGCGACACATGACAGTCTGGGCAGAGTAGGTAGGTAGCATTTTGTGAGATGTGGAGAAATATTTGATAAACCATAAATAATTCTTTAAGAAAAGCATTTTATTAATAACAGAATACATTATTTAACAACAAAAATAGTAATAAATGTTTGATTTGACTTTTCATTAATTGCTTTACTCTACTGTTTGTATAATTAGTGTTATATAATTATAGGTACTAGACTACTAAAGATCAAAAACGTGACCAGAAAAATCAAAAGATATATTTTAAATTAGCAGAACATATAAAGGAAATATAACCAATAAATACTCGTGGTATAAAACTATGACATTTGTGTAAATCATTATAATATGACGTCATAGCACCGATAGTGTGACGTCACATAACAAATAACCAATGAACACTGAGAAAAGACTACACATATAGTTCGTTGAATTAGCACACAAAAATACTGAAATATTTATAAAAACAAGTCACCGCCGGGCGGGGCAACGCTCGACTTTTTACTTGTTCTAAAAGCAAACAAATAAACGGTTTAAACTAATCCTTATAAAGAAAAATTAAGAACAAAAAAGTTTTTCCTTTTTTAGTTTAAAAATCAGTGAAAATTCAACATTTTAACCTTCAAGGTCAAGATCATAAATGAGCCAAGGCCAGTTTGAGTTTGATATACATGTAGGTATTTTCATAAAGATTGGTGTGTGTATAACATTAGTTAATAACAAAGTTATATAGTCAGTTACAGGAAAAAAAGTGGAAATTTTAATAATTTGACCTTCACAGTCAGTCAATGTCATTTATGAGTTAAAGTAAACGTCTGTCTAGTTAATTTGAAGGTCTATCCTAAAAGATTATAATGTTCCAGTTTGAAAACAATCCATTCAACAGTAACAAAGTTATAGCCACTAATAACAAATATCAGCTAAAAATAAGCAAAATTTAGACATTTGACCTTGAAGAGCAAGGTCATTTATAAATGAAGGTCAAGGTTAGTCTTGTCTACTTCAGGGGTTGTTGTGTCCAAGTATGAAGATAATACACCAATAACTTAAACGGTTATGACCAAGGTTAAAGTTTGTGGACGCCCACATGACTATAACAATACATGTTCCTCTTTTTTTCTTCTTTTTTTTCAAAAAAAAAGTCGAGCTTAAAAATTGAAATACTAATTAAAATTAATTACCTGGTATAATATGTTTGTACATGGTAATACTTTAATAAACTAATGCTGTTATAATAAAAAGATAAATGTCATATTTAGTTATCAATAATGTAAAGATACACAAAAGTGAAACGGTGAATTATATTATGGCTATAGATTATAATCCAAAGACCTATATTAGATCTACTTGTTTCGCAATGAATTATATAAAACAATTCGTAAAAGTTTGTAAAAATTTTGTAAAGTCTGCCATCATAGAAAACAGTCATCAAATTAATATTTTTGATTTCAACATTATAACTATTTTCGCATGGATGGGTTCTCACACATGTACTTGAATTTTATCCAGTCTTCTTCATTATAGAAATGCAAAGACTCCCTAGGGATTCCAGGACTGTCCGTGTCATGGAACCATCTATTGGCAGATGGGGCAAAGTACCCTGCGCCTGACCACCGTCTATTTATAGCACAAACTTGAGATGGAAGTAGCGTGGGAACTGGTACACCGGTAAAATCACGCGGGTATCCCGACATTGTAATTCCTGAAGCAAAACAGGAAGAGAATCTAAATCATCAGTGGATATTGAAAAATAACGTTTTTATAGGATGCCAATCTTATTTGTCAATGAATGAAGTCTAGCTAGCATAGTTCGACAACTGTACCTCATTAATCCATTTGGTAAATCAGCAAAAACCTTAATTACTCGAACGTCAAAGGCTCAGCTAAGTGAGAATCTTAATTTAGGATTTCACACTGCGCTAAGTTTTGCAATTTGTGAAAGATTAAAAAAAGATGTCGGGCCGTGACTTGTAAATTAAATTTCTACATCAATAAACTGTTGAAAATGTCTTACAAAGCAAACTTTGGAAGTAATTAAAGGTCTAAAATAGCTTCGATACCAGCGTCTATAAAACACAGATATTGGTCTAATTACAAAGTATAGTCGTTATTTACAGATTTAATTTGAACTGAACCCCTTTATATAGAGTCAAATTTCTAGGAAAGTATATTTAAGTTTATTATCTGAAGGTATTAAAATTCGTTAATCGAGTGTGAGAAAGAATAATGTAAAATTTAAACATCATAGATACAGATACATAGACACAGCATTAGCATTTATCAATGAATTGTTATGAAAAGGTTAATGGCTGCAGTTGTCAAACTCTTAGTTGTTTTTAAAGCGCTAACTAATCACATGTGTAATAACGAAACAACACAACTAAGCAGTTCACTAAATAATTAAAGATTTACCATGAGAACGTGACCATGATTTTCGTTTTCAATATTTAAAAAAATTATCCATGCAAATGATAATCTAAAAAGTCGCAATATAAAATGACTTACAGCTTAAACAGAACTGTTTAAGTTTAATGAAAGTTAAGAGGAGTTGTCTTGTGGTTAAGGTGTCTGCCACTCAACCTAGGGATCGTGGATCCGACGCCTACTAGGATCCCTACAAAAATTTCTTATATGACACCAGTACTGGTTGGTTTCAGGAAGCGGACTTCAAAGTGATAAACATAAGTTACATAAACTTTTTCCATAAACAATCTTAAAACGATATGTTTGCACTTAAATATTGTTGGAGAAACAACTCAAACAGTGTCTCTGTGTATTAGTCCGGGTTTTATATTGTCCTACATATTTACCTGATGGTCCTTTGGGTTTATCATTTTTTATCTTCCATGAGACCCAGTCATCTTCCGACTCGAAATATATAGCGTCTCTCCTCGCCTCCCGAGGTAGTGACCTGTACTGGTCTTGTTGTATCCATCTGAAAATATAGAACATATACATACATTAAATCCGGATGTTTATCAAGAGAAGGCCAGCGTTATGAACTTATATTCCGGAAAGAATAGTATGTTAGGAAGGAATTCGTCACATAAAAATCATGTTAATTAGTTAAAGAGATAAACCTTTCACTTTTCAGTTACACGTATCACACATCATTAATTGTGATGCATTGTTTGCTGTTTTGATAATAACACAGTTTGCATAACGACTGTATATGTAGATCTTTTAAAGGGTCGAGGGGGAAACATTCCAACTAACAGGCCTGTAGAAATCATTTACGATGATCGTGTTTTACTGAATGACAATTTTTTTCTGAGTAAATATGACTTCCAGCGAACGTATGCGCCAGCATGGGTGAAGGAATCCGGCGTATGAAATCACTGGTTGAGGTTATTGAATGTTGAGGTAGTGTTATTTAATAATCTGTGTAAGTATATACAATCCTTTCATACGGTTTAAAATGAGATCTTGAAACAATGTTCCTTCAGACTTGTCCTGTGAATGCTGATCATTTTTTCTAACTTGGATACTACTATACTGTAGTAAAATAACGTTATGATAATTCCAGTAAACAAACCTATTTTCACTTGGAACATAATAAGCTGCACCTCTCCATGCATGGCTCTTGCCAACACCAGCAGGATAGTTGTGGACAGGAACCATATTCCGTGGACCCCTGTCAGCCAGCACGGTCCCCTGACTTGTGCTATACTCAAGACCTTTATTCATCTTCTGAAAGTTGCAAATTTATGAAAACTTTTAGCCTTTTACAAATAAACCTTTTACATGTATTCCTACAAAATACTTTATCACCAAATTGAAGGAATTCCAAAGTACTGTTTTTAAACAATGTCTTTTTTATACATCTGTCAATTAACTCAAATGCAGGGGAAGCCTATGCAAAACGGAGCAAGTGGCAAAATGAAACAACGCGTGAAGCTTCCTAAACGACAATTCAGGAAATAATTATAGCAATTCCTATTATGTTATGTTCCTGTTTCAAATACTCAATGAATTGAGTTTAAAAAGTATGTTTATTCAATATAACTGTTTTTCATGTATATAAGTAAATTAAAAATTTCTGTAAAAGTGTATCTATCAGAGATCAGAATAATATAAAGTAAATCTGAGCTGATAATGTTTATATGGACGTTGTATACGTGTGTATTTATATTAACCGATTGGCTTTGGTCGCTTCTACGCATGTAATTATCACTTGACTCAATGTCAAAGGCCATTTACCGTAACGGGGAAAAACGGGAGTGTTTTATTTTGCCCCAACTGCCTTTCTTTTTTTATATATACAACCAGGTTAAAAATACGCATGAGACCGTGATAGAGCTATTGATGTTCTAAAAAACTGCAGTCGAATTGACGTGTCAAAATGGACTCTAATTTAAAATAGATTTAGCCATGTTATGTCTTGGTTCTCGCATACACCAGAAAATCTATCAAATGTTATCGTTTGTCTCAAAGAATATAAATGAAATAGTTATAAGGTAAAATCAGTTTGTCAAGGACAAAGCAAGTTTACAGAAATATGATAGTATTTAATGTGAACTGCACACAGTTTCAGATAGAAGGGGTATCTATGCATGAGACATTTGAAATGTTGACGTGATGGACACTGTCTAGACATTCAGAAAGTTTAAAGTTGTTATTCCAAATATAAATTGGACTCGCTTACTTTCTAAAAGCGATGTTCCCATAAAACTTCACTAAGCTATTACGATTAGCTATCAGTGCAACACAAAAAATCTCCCATGCCCATAGTTCCGCGTGTATAAAAATCAATTCACCATGTTTCTTTTTGGTGTATACATATATATGAAGTTCGCATTCACAGCAATAGATGACCGCCGAGTATTATACCAGATATATAAAACACTTTGCTTAAGCAATACAAAAGAAAGAAAATGGTTTTGTAATCGCTAGACAATCAACCTTGGGTACCAGTATCCAGCCAATGACAATGTTATCATAATACGTGTTTTTTATCAACATTGCCGGTATATCATACACTGTCATATATTGTAGTTATTTGTTATAACACGGATTTATATTGTAATATAAATCCGTGGTTATAGGACAATTCTACCATACGTAACACCGTCTGCATATCATTTTATATACCAAAGTATGTCAAAAATATAATTAATAATCTATATAATGCCAGTTTGAAAATCATTTAACCAACAGAGTTCTACCTGTTATTCTTCGATAGTCGCTATTAAGATGTATATTTGGTACCTGGAAGAAATTCTTTAAGTATATTTAATACTTATCTGCCTTGACCTGGGACATAAACTTATGTCCCAGCCCTGACAGAAGGAAGATAAATTCTAAATGTTGTCATTTGGAATTTTTTTATTTCATTTAGGAGGATATTAAATTTGCCTCGTTAAATTTTTCATTTTGCTCCAATAGACGGTGCAAAATAAAACAATTCACCAGAGTCGCTTTGTTTAGTGATAGCTTCTAAACCAGTTGAAGGGTTCCTTTAAATATCATATCAAAATGAAGTATCATCGTGATTTATTATATACTTACTTATAAATGTAATATTGATCAATATTGATGAAATAAAACGTGTATTTTCATTTTCCGTATTTTCAATGTAAAATTTAATTTTCACTGCCGTGAAACATATTTTCCGTATTTTCACCAGTGTCTTGCCGGACTACTTTCTTCTAAATTGTAATGTAAACATGAGATAAAGGTTTCTTGCATATCAGACTGGCGTTTCCGTTAGTTTTACCCATGCCGGAAATTTCATCTGGCATGGGGAGTTCCAGATGAGTCGCGTGCTGTACAATGGCACGATTAAGATGACGTCATTTTACCGTTATGAATTCATACGCTGTTGAATGAAAGTAGTTACAGATGTAATGATATAAATTTTCATTGAAAATAAAGATAAAGAATTTAAAATATAGTGGAATATCATAGAATATGCAAGAAAAAATATCTGTCATATGTTTGCGGTTCGGATCGGAATATCCGTCCCTCGGTCGCACGCCCATGGGCGGGTCACCTCGGGACGGATATTCCGATCCGAACCGCAAAATATGACAGATATTATTAATATAATAAACAGAATATTCAAGTGTCTTTTCCACAGCCACTCACGAAATATTTATTTTTAAACCACTCAATGAAAATGAATCCTGTATTTATAGAAAAGCTTAAATATCCTCTAGATCTCCATATTATGACAGTATCAATAAAATACCTATCCAATAATGTATACATGAGAGCCTGCCAAAATTCGAAAAACTGTTCCGTTTTTCCCAGGTGTATATATCTTCTAGTCAGTTCTATTGGTGTTCTTATTTATTATTTGTACTTTAACTGCTTTCTTCACTAGTATAAAATGTATCAAATTGATACTGTCCAAACTCTTTGCACCCTTTTGACGTCGTTGCTATTGACGTCATGTGACGCTAACGTAACGTTGCCTATGCCTTGTTGATCTTTATTCTTGTTATTTTGTTTATTATGTATCTATGTACACAGAAGAAGGCTGTTTAGCCGAAACGTTGGTAGGTATATTAAAGTTTATTTTAAGAATTTGCAATTCACTTCTTACTTTTTCACTATTTATTTACATATATCACAGATATTGGCATCCACACATGTATAAAAATTAATGTTTAGTGATACATTTACAAACAAATTTATAAACTCAGATCCCCTTTCAAAATTCCATTTTATTTAGTTCCGCCCATTGTTTTCTCGTTTAGGACACAAGCATTCTTTTACTTGGGGACCATACTCGGCTTTTCACGGAATGGCACTACTGTCTCACATTGAAGGTTCCATGATAACCGCCGTGTGAACACATCTGCGGATGTTTCTAAATTCAAAATTTCACCATTTTCGTGTTAAATGTTGAATTCTGCTTAAGCCGGTGCTAGGGGGCGTGGACGATAACTTGCACTTTCCATTAAACATTTTCAATTTTGACATGTTGGACTTTCTTTAGGGATTCTGTTTTCACTATTTTATAGCAATTCTATGAACAGTTCAAATGTAATGGGTTCTATTCATAAAATGCGTTCAGAAATATGCAGTGACATGAGCAATACCGCAATACGTTCATTTATTGATGAATGAAGAACTGAAGAAGGCGAGAAAGTGTATCTTGGCGAGCGTTAGCGAACCCCATCTCGACTTCGATTTATCCCTGCTTTTGTCTAGCTCAATTACGTTTTTACATTATCTTAACGGTTTCATTCTTACGTTTTCCTCGATAAAACAGCGTTTATATATGTATACATTTTACTCATTACTTATTTTTTCTTGATGATAAAAACCAGGACCTTTTTACCTATGTGTTCATTAAATTTTACAGGTAAGAAAGGCAGAGCTTTTTATGTGTTATTTAAAGTTTTGCTTTTAAACAAGGACAAACCACACTAACTTTAGTCTAAATTGAGGCATGTCAGTGTAAAACTTCAATATTCACAATATTTAAAGGGCAGCGGTGGCCTAGTGGTAAAGGTGTCTGCCTCTCGGCCAGTGGATCATGGCTCGAGCCCTTATCGGGTCACACCAATGTTTCTCAATATGGCACCAGTACTGGTTGGTTGGTTCCAGGAAGCGGAGTCGGAAGTGATTAATGTAAGTTGCAAGTACTTGTTTCGCAATCGAGCTTAACAATAAATATATTTTACTGTAATCAAAAAAGTTATATAAAAACGAAATTGTGTATATAAAAAAGCTACAGTAACCGGTAAAATTAGAGTTAATAAGCGTATTACATTGTGTATATACAAGTTAATACTGCACTTTATGCCATAAGATTAAATAGCAGATCAATACTAGAGTATTGATCAATTTATTTAACATTCATTTGTATTCCAAGTTTACTATCAAATTAAAGTATACCAAACTATAGGATTTGATGGCATGTAAAATGGTTTTATATATTATAAATAACTACCAAATTTTACATCCGTTTATATGTTATATATATAATATATATATTTATAATTTTATATTTACATCAGGGTTTTTCTCTTTCAAAGACCCTATAGGAATGCAAAAAATAGCATGGCTTATTAGTGACAATATTAAAATTTCACACACAAAATATCAAAACATTGTGAAAATTGTAAAAACAACAAATAGTGTAAGAAAATCAATAGATATACCTTTTTTTTACTTTAATATAAACCGATCAATCTGTGTGAAGCTTAGGTACAAAACAACGGACAGAAACGTTCCTGTACACCGTTAATCTCTTAACAACGGAAGTAAACAACATATTAAACCGGTGTACAGGTAAAGGTATTTAATTAAAGGTAAATAAGCAGGTAAGTTGGTGTTTAAAGTGTCAGTTCAGTTAACTCATATGCACCAATTCCTCTCGTGTAAACCACAGACATATATTTTTTAACTAGTAGATCTAGATGATTTTATATCAAATAAAGTCTTTAAAAGCTACTGTATGAATGTAAATAAACACAGACAAAACAGACAAAACAAGTATAAAATACTTGAAATATTGGAAGATTAAAGTTGAACAGGAAAGCATATGATAAGAGAAATATTTTAGACAAGCAACAATGCGTCAACTGCAATTTTTTACTGCAATTACAGTAGGCTGTAGATTTTAAGTTATACTGTGTAATGTCATGCTCAATTTTGATGGTAAACATGCAATGCAGTAAACGAAGATAAGATCGGAATATGTTACATCGTAGGTTCTATAAAATTCTTACATATGAAAACAGGTGAGTCTGGTAAAAATATGTCATCTTGGGAAATGCCTCATTCCCAAAATGAGTCTGTTTATACAATAAGTCATGTATATTATAATCTAATAACTATATACTGGTTTCCTGCATAGAAATTTAACATTTTTTACAGCATTATTGTATGTGAATTTGATAGAAAACCAAACAAGGGAGAGATATTTTCCAAGTCTTTACCATATACACATGTACATGTAAACAAAACCATTGGCCCCCCAGGGCAGAGTCAATTTTGACCATAGAGATATACATGTAATATGAACATCATCATATGCTCTTTATAACCACATGCTTAAGTTCTTGGCCTTGGTTCACTTAATGTTTGCATTTTGTAAAACCCCTTTCTTTTTGCCCTGCATTGGCCTGCAACATACTTATGCAGCTGACCAGAACAGTTTGAACAAGTTTGACAGAGGACCATCTAAGGATCATCATTGTTTGATTAATATCCATTAACTGTCTTCAGAGGAGATGTAATTTAAGAAACTGTTGATGATGATGCATTACAACTGATGACAGATGGAGGGAGATCACACCTGCTCAGGTGAGCTAAAAATATGGCCAGGCTCCAGCATTGTGATACATGAGATAGACAAAATTGACACACAGGTCAATTCTATTAACTGTATTATAATCTGCTCAATTTCATTACAGGATGGCAGCACCACTACCAAAGCCACACTACTCAACCCCATATAACAACTACCTGTCTGGAGACGGGAAGTCACTTGTATACGAGGGACCTGGATATTATGTCCCTTCTGAGAGAGGGCGCTGGATTCAGTACAGTGATTACAGGTAACTATGAGACACTTTAACAAATATAAATTGGTGAATTGTGACCTTTTTTTGTGTAAAAAGCTATAAAATCCAAATAAATTAATATTATTCAGAGGTTAAAAATACACAATTTATTTAAATCTCATTGTTAAGCTTGCATATTAAAAAAAATTAAATTCATGTCCTTGTTGACTTAAACATTAAAATTATTTAATTCCTTTACAATGTGAAACATATAGTGAACACTCTCATGAGTTGATGAAATTACTACCAGATTCATTGTTATTACAAAAACATATTTATTTAATTTAGGATACTTAAATTAAGGAAGATAAACATCACCTTTAATATGTATATTATACTTAAATAATCAATAAGTAGTTGCTTTGTCAAAGGACATATAAAAAAACAAAAAAAAAAAAACAATACTGGACGAAAAAGAATTAGTAAGGGACAATATCATACAAAATATCATTTGTCGGATGCTTATTATAAAGGCAATATATAAAGGCCTTTTCTGAGTTGGCAAAACTGTTGACATTTCACAGTATAAACTTTAATAAATATTCCCCAAATATTGTAGTGTCCCTGCTCTCAAGATCAACTTGTAAGACATACATTATTAAGCTTTATATGTTCAACAATATATGTCTGTATTAAATCTGACATAAAATGAAAGTTGTTTTAGATAATTTTCCCAATATTATTGTGACTACTTCATAAAAATAATTCCATATTTAAAAAAGCATTGATTGTTGCAAAGTATGAAAAAGAACAAAAATCTTTGCATACCTACTTACATTACCATAATTAGTCTTTCAAAGAGGTCTTTACAAGTGCTGGTTTGAAATACATGACCCAGGTCAAAACAGCAAAATATAAAAATGTCCTGCCCTTTATTAAACAATATCAAAACAAAGGTTTTAATAACATATAATATCTTGGCAACTTGAAGTCAACAAGTCGTTGCCATTGTAACTCAATAAACAGAACACCTGTTGCCAGCAAATCAGCAAAATGAAAGCCTAATTGCGTCTGTCCCGCCAGAATGTTGGCATTAGATATCGTTTATTTCTGGAGTCAAGATATACAATGCTGAAAGAAATTGCACTAGTAGATGTATGGCTTGTTATAACAGCTATAAGAAAATTTTCTGTCTACGTTTTTTCCCACCAGACCCTGAACAGTGGCCTATTTATAGCAACAGATGCAAAATTAATACTTTTAAAGCAAAGAACAGATTTTTGAAAGGGAATACAAGTGTGCCTTAAGTAATTTCGGATTGCCATGTGTCTGTGAGTCAGACTTTGTTTTAATACTTCAAGAATAACAGATATCTTAAATTGTCCTTCTCCCAAGCAGTTTCAATATCCATCCCAGTCTGTTGTCAAGAACAGATTACAAACAGTCCTATAAATACTAACTTTGTCTCATCAGCTTTAGAGAAAACATTCTAATGACATATGTGACCATTCATACATTTAGGTCTATCTGGTACCAGATAGCTTCCATTAAACTGACACTTTATGGTATAGGTACCGTAAAATTCCTAATAAACGCCCCTCCCCTAATAAAAGCCCCCCCAGGCTTTTTGATATGGAAAAAAATCTGCTCATGAGTGGTGAACTCTTTAATAAATCCGTAATTTTATTCAAATCCTTCAGAATCCATTTTATGTCATAGTCAACACAAAAATGTATCACATGAACTTTAAAATCTAAACACATTTTCACGTTATTACCAACCTATGTTACAGTCTAAATGTATTTTCAATGATTTTTGGATTTAGGAAAAATTTAGTGTTGTAATAATAGCCCCCCCTTTTAGAAAATGTTTAGCCCCCGGGGGCGTTTAATAGGAATTTTACGGTACATTGTATATCCTTTTAAAAATGATTCACAGAATGTCAAGGGAGGAAATCATTATATTTGCCATGACTGATTTCATATTGATAATGAATTCAGTTATCTGCCATGAATGACTGATTACATACTGTCAATTAATTAATTTACCTATATGATTGGTGTACATAACATTTAGCCAATTTTAGCAGGACTGGGCCTCTCATGGTAATTTCAGTTATCTGCCAATGTTTGATCACATTTTACTAATTAATTATCTGCCATAGCCAATTACTTCAGATATGATGACTGCTTTAAGCCTTCCTGTCACTGTTTCTTCCAGAATAAGATTTAAATGATACAAAGCTACTGGCTACACAAATTTAAGTCATGTTCTTAACTGTTAACTTTGTTATGATCTACTGGTTAAGACAAACTCGATCCCTGTCAAATTTGTAAATCTTAGACCTATAGGCATAATAGTTCTATAGTTATTATTCAGACATGATCTTAGTGTTAAAGGTCACAGTGACCTTTCATGTCTGACTGACTTTAAAATCATAAGGGGCCATCTACTAGTTATGATCAATCTCCCCAAAAGTCAATAACTGTATGCCAAATGTTTTTTAGTTATTGATAAGACAAACTATTTATGCACCTGACGTTAAAATACACTCCCACTTCTTCAAAAGCAGTAATCATATATTTGGTTGATAATTGAGGGAAGTTTTTGTTCGACAGATCGTTGCCACGTGAGGCTAGGAGAGATGCCATTGACATGCAATCAGAGGACCAGTTTGTAAATTTCATGAGGCAAAGAGACACGCCCTCAGGTAAATCTACTTTCTTATTAGACAACCCATTTAAATGGTAACCACCAAGTATTTCAAATAATGCAAATCTGTCTTAAGAACTGGAATTCCATAAATTATAGTAATACAGATATATTAGATTATTTCCTTCTTAGTTTATAACTCTGTTGCCTTGATGATATGGTTCATTGCTATTTTTCCAGAAAAAGAAATCTTTAAAGGAAAAAAGTCTCAAAATTACTATGGTGGTAACAATTTTTTTACATATTTAACATAAACATTAAAACAAAACTATTAACAAAAGGTGAGATATTCAGAAAAAATGTTATCCAAAAAAAAAATGTCAATGTATAAATACTTGCAACACATTTATGCTTTTCAATATATAGAAAAATATATTTGAGCCGCGTCACAACAAAACCAACATAGTGCGTTTGCGACCAGCATAGATCCAGACCAGTCTGCGCATCTGTGCAGTCTGATCAAGATCCATGCTGTTCGCTATCAGTTTCTCTACTTGTAATAGGGTTGGTAAGTGAACAGCATGGATCCTGATCAGACTAAGCGAATGCGCAGGCTGGTCTGTATCCATGCTGGTCGTAAATGCACTATGTTGGTTTTTGTTGTGACACGGCTCATTTAACAGATATTATAACATTCTGTTTTCTCATTCATTTAGGCTACTACCATAAAAATATTGGGTTAAAGCAGAGTGGTGTCCCAGCTTTGCGTCTTGCTGGCTACACTAGACAACTTCCGTCTATGCCATCAAAAGACATATTCCAGAACCCCTGGCCCAAGTCGGATGCCTGGGTACCGATAAAGAGAGAAGGGCGTGGCGAGTATTATGGGTACTATCATGAAGCTATAGATGGGGAGCGAGACAGAAGGCGCAAGGAGTTCCCAACTAGCTGGAGAATTGAGCCCAGAGATGTGCCAAAACTCTAATAGCAAACTTTCTCTTTAGACTATCAAAAATTTTGTTATAGTTTTTTAAATCCTGCATAATTTTTTTTTCCAGAATACAATAGAAATGAACCATTCAAAACAAAATGGCTCTAGATTTATGTTAATCCTCATAAGAGCATTCAGAAAATACTTAAATAGTTAAAATATTGACTAGTGAACACATAAAGTAATGCTTGCATACGACTATTAATTTACTATCCTAGTACAAATTACCCGTGTTCAAAAAAAGAGAGCATTATTTGCCCTTTTTTCGTTAGCTACAGGGTATATGCAGCGTGGCAAAAATAGTAAATGCATTACACCATGTAGCGCATTACATACACTGCAATTATTTAAACATAAGTGGAAACTCTTGGTGATTTTATTTTTAAACTTTGTTCACTAATCTGGAGGCGTGTAAGCTTTAAGACGCACAATAATAATAAAAGTGCTATATTTTCATATGGAAAGATTATATTAATCTTCTCTATCAACCTGGTCATGATTATCAAAACATAAAAAGACGACACATTATCTTTTTTTAGCAACATATTCAACATGAAAGACCTGTAACTAAAATGACAGGAATTAAAGTTATGGAACTATACTTAAACAAAAAAGAAACTTTCTCCAAGTTTGAATGTAGATATGTTAGTACAGTTTTTCAAATCTTTCGAAACTCGATTTTTACGTTGAATAATTATATCGGGCTTTTATACGGGGATTAGCTGACCGATTTTGCAAACAAAACGAGTTTTACAAGCTACTACATGTATATAAGAGTGTACATCTAAGTGGTACCCTTGAACAACTGGCACATACTTTGCGAAAGTTTCTTTTTTGGTTCAGTATATATACCAATATAATTCGCTGCCATATAAAACCTTGTTTTATAAAACCTTCTTATATTTTCTGACTTATTAGCAAGTCTTATGTGACTCTAAATTAAATTAATCAATATTTTTATTACTACAGTATTATTCACATTGATTCAGTATTTGATTTTCACAATATTTGTTTATAGTAGAATTATTGAAATAACATATATTTAATATTTTTTTATATTTTTTATTATATCTTTGTACTTTTTCTACAACAAAATTTTATGTCTATTATTTCTATTTATAAATTGTTCATTGTTTTTAATTGAAAAAATATAAACTTTAAAAAAAAACAAAAAAAAACTTTTTTTCATTATAAAGTAGATAAAGAGTCATCATTACAATTATAATACACACAAAAGATTATGTTTTACAAACAACAATTTTAAGACTATTTGAAAGCTTAAAAAGGTCTTTGAAAAAAGTCACAAAATGGAAACTTTTTTTTCCAACATACAATCAATTCTGATTGTTTAGACAAACTACCTACCGTTATTAACTGTAAACAGAAGACCAGAATTATACTGGTTCCTTTATACCAGAATTGTAGATCATTTTAAACGGGTTGCTGTTTAAGCTGAATCTGTTTCAGATTTTATTAAGCAATAAGTTAAATATACAGAACTGAATTCAAAGAGCAGTTGCATTCCTAGTTTTCAGTTGTTTTATAACTGTTATATTTATCTAAACTTTTATTTCTATAATGTTATGTTTTAAGCTCACTTGTTGTTTTAGTTGTTGGGGTATTTGTTTGCTTTGTTCACAATAAACTTACAGTGCTAAATTGTTTTATACTGGTTATTTTTACAATAAAACCCAAGAACATCAGTTTTTGGTTTAATCATATATATTGTATATTACTAAGCTCGATTATTTTTGTAAAACAGCAAAACAAGTCTTGAATAATAATAATGTTAATTTTGTTAACTATAATAACATTATGTTCAACAAGTATTGACCAATCATTGATAGCTGCCACTGGGTTAACTAAGACAGATGTACCAGCAAGATTGAACGTGACAACAGAATCTATTGTATACATGGTGCATTTAACATACCAGTAAATACAAAAAACAAACCTGGCAATATCATGAAATCAGGTTTCCAACTAGAGCCTTCACAAGTATGTTTCATATTGTCAGGGCTTTTTGTTTTTTAATGCTATTAAAGATACTTGATTGGATGAAAGACCTTTAACAGGTAAATATCTATATCTTATGAAATATTTTTATAAAATTTATCAACAGTAAAATTATGTTTGTTCCATTATTATATGGTTGATTCCCGAAAGAAGTTGTAACATAGAATGTCTCTGTTATTTAATAGACATGGATAATGTACGTAAACAGAATAAAATGTTCCGGAACAAAATATTATTTTTCTATTTTAAGTAGGGTTTTATCTGTTTAGCAATGATTTTGTGCATGCGCCATTCGTTTTTAAGCCAATTACCATAATTATTTAATACAAGCATTTCGGAAGTATTCTTTTTTAACATTCAAACAATGATTTTTGCAGCAGATGTATAGCTTTATACTCTTTTAAAGTTTTTGACATTTTTGAATTATTTAAAATTGATGTGAAAGTCCCAAGTCTTGTTTTATCCATGTATGGACAGAACCCATCTATAAATATCAAAGTTATTGCAGATTTGATTCATTTTCAAAAATTGAGAATGAGGATCCATGCTGTTTTTCGCTATCTTTTCTTATTTTTTAATAGCGTTGGTAGCAAAAAGCATAACCAAACAGATGCAGGATGCTCAACTGGGGCGGTCCATGGGTCGCAACGCATATGTTGGGTTTTTTCATGGTGGGTCAAAACAAAATTTCCCTGGGAATTTTAAGGGGGCTTAAAAAATATTTGACAATAAAATTTTGAAACAAAAATACACGTTTAAATAAAAATAGGCTTAATGCAATAGGAAATTGCACTAAATCTGACCAAGTATTACAGCAAAGTTTAAAAGGACATCAGAATGAGGGTCTAAGACAACCTTCATATTCTTTAAATAGTTTATCTAACACCGGCTATCACTAGGACAGCATGCTTGACTGTTCTCAGTGCAAGAAAGTAAAACAAGTACACAGACAATTTTCTAACTTAAAAAAATGCCATAATTCTGACAAAAATCTATGTTTGACCTATGGGCCTTGTAAGGTGTTCACCTTTTATGCTCTCAAAAAAGTCTGATAAGTTTCAACCATTCTCTTCAATTGCTTTGGAGACACCAAAATATACCAAAGAGTGATGCGGACACTGGGGTGAGTAGTTAGCTCTCACTATTTTTGAAATAGTCAAGCTTAAAATGAAACAAAACAACACAAATACATAGATTACAAAATTATATTCATACAAAATCATGTATCATTCACATTTAAAGAGTTAGTTTTCACTGTTAATTTGTCACAAATGGACGATGATTTCTCTTTTTGAATGTTTGAGTCATTAAAATACATCTCCCTGAATGTAGATTCCTCAAAATGGTCCACTCTAACCTCAGCTTCATGTATATCCTCCTCCTGTAATATATTACATATACGACAATTCATTAGTCAAGATGAACAAAGATTATAGTGTGAATATAACTTTTAAAGGCTGAAATTTCACTGCACATAGCCTTAAAAATACTGCAAAAATCTAGATTAAAGTTGAAATATATATATTTTATACAGATAAAGAAGGAAGGAAATCAGAACTTGATTGTTATAACAAAAATGAAGGATAACAACACTTGACTTTTTTTATATTTACGTGTAATTTATTCTACTTATGATTTCTTTTTGCTTAAAAAGTCACAAATCATACATTTCAGCTGCATTGCATAAAAGTTAAGCTGACACTTTGGTAAAATTGACATTTTAAGTTATCCAACCACTAAGTTATCTATTAGAAAATCAACACCCTTGTTGTATCATACATAGAAACAGTTTTATTTTTATCCTAAAGCTATATCAACTGCCATTGACAGATCTATATAGAATATTTCAATACCTTATCAATAAAAAAATGGATAAGCTTAAGAATATTTACTTTCAAATATTGATGGTGAAAAAAATCAACACTAGAAACGTTTCAAAATCATGATTTTAGAATAAAACACATTTGCTCTACTCATCAGTTACTTAAATTAATGCATAATTTGCACTCAGAAAAGAAACAATTAGAATCAAAATAAAATACTTCATTTTAAATTTGATTATTCTTCATTTTGCCAGAAACAGAAACAAGTTCATCAAAACTGAACATGTTCAGACAAATATGAAATCAAGTATGCCTTGACCTGACAAACATCTGTTGTGTTTGGTTCTACTGAAATTTCCATTTCTCTTTTTGCAGGGAAATGAATATTTATTGCACATTAACTTCTTGTTATGGAAATTGATGTTATCATTAGTTAGATTTTTTCATGATTTCAGTTCTTGTAGTACAAAAGTTGGGAAATAATTCTCATAAAGGGCAGTAGTAACAAACGCATTGTCTATAAAATAAGTGCAGGATTATTTAGGAGGCACAATGCAGAGATTTTCAGACAAGATTTTGATAGATATGTTGTTGTTTTTTTGTAAATTGTTCTAAATTTGTTGATATATATATATATTTATATTAGTTTTTTGGCATCCCTGTTCAAACAAACGGAATTGAAATTTATATGACATTTTCTTTCCTTCCTATAACTGATAAAAATGTTGTTTTTTTTGTAAAATTGAGACATTCTTTTTTTGTTTATTAACTAATATTATACACAATTATACATGTATATACAGTGAAATTCCATTTTGAGATATTCTAAATGATAAGTGATTTTTTTCTTTCCTTAAGTCACAGCATACCTTGTTTTCGTTTTTTAATATATTTTGTATTTTTGTTTAATTTTTTTTTATTTAAATTAAATTGAAATTTTATAGAGATGATTTTTTCAGTTCATATGAAATATATTCGACTGAGATGGGACAGATATTCTGTATTTTCATGATGAATAAAACACCAGAGATAAAAAAAAGGGAATATGTTGTTCCAAGTATTTTGACAAAGAAAAGGACATAATAACATTGATAAATTCACAAACTTTGTTAAAACCATTCATAAATAAATAAGAAATGGGTAATTGATAAACATGTCTTTGCTAAAATGTAGTTTTTAAATTCATGCAATATAGTTTAACTTAAATTTACCAAAAGTGACAATTATAAATGACATATATTTCGTATGTAGCCTTTATCTGGTGGCACATATGTCTGCCTATATCATTCTTTAACTGTATATAAATGATCAAAAATGATATCTAACCAAATCATCATAATAAACCATCTGCCATACATGCAAATAAGTATCACAGTTTATTCATACTGCTCTTTAGGAAAACAAGTCCCATCATATACTTACCAACATTATTCTTAAAATTTGAAAGAATTTCCTTAGGTTATATGTACAATGTATATGAATTTCATACTCCTTATATAATTTATGTTATTCTCTCTACCAAAATAAACAGGAGTTTACACCAAGTAAACAGTATATTTTTTAAGTAAATGAAGGTTTGTGAATGAAAAACTCACAGAATAATCTTTGACCTTCTCCATGGTGATAAGTCTTCTAGATAGTCTAGTATTTAGTTTCTGTTCACAATTATGTACCATCTTTAAACATGGGTGGGTTGGTATGTTATCTTCAGTGTACCTGGAAGTCAAGAAAAAAAACAATGTGATTTTGTTCATATTTAACAGTAAACACCATTGAGTAATTTTACAAGCCTATTCTTAATGTGTTAATTTAACACATCAGCAGGCAAATTTGTCTGTAAGAGATTGGACGATATTTTATTATATCAGATTTCATTACTATGCTCATTATGCCAGTACTCTTTTATTTAATAATATTCTTGGTTTCAGTGACAGCTGGACCAGCCTGTACATCCTGTCTGTTTACTGTTTTTTAGTATTAGTTGATTGTTTGTACTAATTTCTTCAAGTTCAATTGTGGTGGAAGCTATTAGCTTATTGAAACACTTTTGAATCCATTCTTGGAGCCAACCAGTACTAAGCAATAAGTGTAACATTTCTTGCTCACGAAAACAAGCGTTTGCCCCTGATGGGGTTTGAACCCAAGCAACCAGTAATCCTTATGTTACTTGTCTGACTCCTTAACCACTCGGCCATGCTGCCACCTTAAATTTTATTATTCTGGTATTGAAATCCTTCAAATTGTCAAATAGACTGTTTTAACTTCAAAGCATACCATTTATTATACAAAGTCAAAAGGTTGAGGGAAAGTTTTATAAACATAACATAATAAGGTGCACTTACGTTTGTATTGATACCGGGAACCAGTAAACAAGTCGGCCATTTTTGTTGAGATATTTAGCGGAGAAATTCAGCAAGTCCTTGAATATATCCGATAAATGGTAGTCTAATCTTTTAGGATAGTGGTTACCGCTAGCTTTTCTGTGGTAAATTAAAAATATACAACATTAAAACAGCATAACACCTGATTCATGTAAATTTTCATGAAAGTTTAGAAATTTTTCTTATTAGTGAAAAAATGTTGTAAAGTGTCCAAATGTCAAAAAAAAAAAAAACATTCAGAAATAACCATAATTAACTGGAGACATGTAGCTTTACCATACATAGAGAAATTATCATATGTCAACTTCGAGAGAAAGCATACATAAGCCCGAGTTTAATCGAAATAGAAATAAAACTTCCCTGTAAACCATAAACAATGCTTAGCTATTTACTAACCAACCAGAGATAAAATGAAGATCAGATCTTTTTTCTCTCTTAAAATGGGTTTTAATGAAAGTTATAATGGTATTTCAGATATTTGTGGGCAGGCAGTTATTTGTAAAAAAAAGAAAATGTTTTTAAAAAAAATTTCTTTTATATATGAAACTTGAAGATAATTGTATGTTGTAAGAATTACTTACAGCTCTTCATCTATTATAACATCAGCTGTTTGTGTGCCCACCTTTTTTGCTCCTTCTCTAATACCATAAGGTGCTAAAATAATACAGGGGATAAATCTATAACTAGATACCATTAAAATATACATACCTAATATACATTTGTTTATATACTGAACCAAAAAAGAAACTTTCGCAAAGTATGTGCCAGTTGTTCAAGGGTACCACTTAGATGTACACACTTATAAACATGTAGTAGCTTGTAAAACTCGTTTTGTTTGCAAAATCGATCAGCTAATCCCCGTATAAAAGCCCGATATGTTTATTCAACGTAAAAATCGAGTTACAAAAGGATTGAACAAGAGCTGTCAGAAGGACAGCGCGCTCGACTTTTTTAGTGCTTGCCTATAAAACAAAACTTTGACAGTTAAGGGCACACAAGACTTTAACTAGGAATTTCTAAGTACAAATCAAGAAACATTTTCACAGAGTTATCTTCTCTTGCTTACAGATAGGTCTCATGATGGCACATAAGAACTCCAACTTCCAAAGTAATATCTCAAATGGTTAAGTCAACAAGTGGACAAGAATGAAAATCTTAACTGAGTTTCTAAGTCAAAAAGGGCCATAATTCAAATAAAATCCTTAACAGAATTACCTTCTCCTGCCCATGTTTTGGGACCATGATGGTAAACAAGTATTCCAACTTTCAAATTAATATCTCAAACAGTTCAGTCAAAAAGTGGACTGGTACTAAAAACTTAACCAAGATTCTAAGTCGATAAAAGGCCTTAATTTTTAAAACAAATCCTTGACAGAGTTACCTTCTCTTGCGTACAGATGGGGGTAATGATGTGAAATAGCATTAAAAGTTTCAAAGCAATATCTCAAAGGGTTAAGGCAATAAGTGGATTTTACCCATATTCAATGTATTTTCTAAGTCAAAAAGGGGCATAATTCTGTCAAAAACCTTGACAGAGTTATGTCCTCTTGTCTGTTGATGAAGGTCGTGATGGTAAACAAGTATGGTCAGTTTCAAAGCAATACCTCCAATGGTTTTTGAAATAAAGTGAGGTGGTACAAAAAACTTAACCAAGCTCAATACACTTTCTAAGTCAAAAAAGGGCCATAATTCTGTCAAAAACCTTGACAGAGTTATGTACTCTTGTCTGTAGATGGAGGTTATGATGGTGAACAAGTATGGTAAGTTTCAAAGCCATACTTGTAATACTTCTGAAATAAAGTGGGGTGGTACGAAAAACTTAACCAAGGTGTGACGCCAACGCTAACGCCGACGCCGACGCGAGTAGGATAGCTCCCCTTTTCATAGAAAAGTCGAGCTAAAAACTGTACTAACATATCTACATTCAAACTTGGAGAAAGTCTCTTTTTTGTTTCAGTATATATATTATATACTTTGATAAATACGTAAAATACACTTTCAAAAATTAAAGGTTTTAAGTATATTAATAGTCATAGTGTAACTATAGCAAAGCTAATTTTGGCTGGTGACAACAAAGATATGCAGACAAAGTCATCAGCACTTAAAATGTTCATGAGTGCAGTGGCGTCATGGCCAGGCAGTTGACGCATTGGGGAATGTTGACTGGGTGGATTAAAACCCCATCAGGGGTAAGTTAATGTTTCCCTGAGCAAGAAACTTTACAATTATTGCTTTCCAGAAGTAATTCATAAGTGCTTTAATTAGCTTATAGCTTCCAACATAATCAAACTTAAATTGTATAAACTGTAAACTAATAATGTTCAAACAAATAGATTATGTGACATCATAATTTTATTCCTAAATTGTACCCATACAAGAATGAAATACTTTTTTCACATTCTACTTGGCTACATAGCTATCACAAACTTTTGACAGAGTTGAGTATGAATATAATCCTAACTTATAAATGATTCTATAATAAATCTTTCAAAGCATGTGCAATAAGAAATGTTACAATATAAAATAACACAATACAATAAATTCCTGCAATTAAAAGTATTTCAACCAAAGACGAACAAAGTACATCTACAAATTAAAGAGACATTGTTTCAACAGGAAACATGTCCATTTATCAGACCAATGTGAAGACTAACTTACGATCTGTAATAATGGCATCAAACAATGTTTTGTCACGCCACATATTTGACCTGGAGGAATCAGCAACTAGTGCATCTATATATAGATGTTCGAGACCGTACTGTCGTAGGTTTGATCGTATACTCTCATCAGATGCTCTCTTCTTCTCGTTACAACGACTTGGTCGCGCTTTGAAAAAAAGAATATACAGTACTAGAAATATATGACAAACTGTATAGTAAAAAGGTAATTTTGTATAAAGAGTTAAACTCATTCATAGACTTAATATTGTTTACCCTTTACCACAGTAACTTCTAAATCTGATTACATATGTTGAAGTTTTAAGTGTTTTTAAGTTATTGAAAGGAAAGCGGATTCATTCATCTTAACATGTTCTTTCTTGTGTTCAAAGTCAAAAGTTAATCCCATCATTAATCAGTAAAGCCATTAATGTTAAATTATTATGCACAGTTTAGCTCACAGTAAAAATTTATTCTCACTTACTTGAAAAAAAAACAACATGTGCAATGTTTTATCTTAAAAAAAACAGCATCCAAATACAAGTATATTAGAGTTGATAGAAATGATTTTACCTTTAGCATGTAGGAGAAGATAGTCGATATCAGTTCCTAACACATAAGCTCCGTGTATTGCTGCTGCAACTAGCAAACTTCCTGTTTATAAAAACATTTGTACAACGTGATAACACTATTGACCAAGTGAAAATAATATCAAAGTTTAATGGTACTGCATCAGGGTGACAAAAACACACCTTACTTTTGGAAAATGCACAAGGTGGAAACTTCTAAAAATAGACCAAATTCAGGTAAGTTATTTCACATACTGATTCTCCAGGAAACTGATTATCAACTAAATTAGTCTGAAAAAAATCACTGAAAATTCTACAGAGGAAAGTGCTAAACATAAAAGAAATGTTTTAAAATTATACCACCACATACATTCAGTCATGGAATTTAAAATTTTGAATTAACTGGCCTGAAATCCAGTTTTGGATTTATTTTACTTTATGTTTAACTAACTTTTTTTACAATTTACACTGGTCCGAACTAATTTTCACTGGCCATGGGCCACCAGGCCAATGCTAAATTCTATGACTGTACATTGTATAAAAGTCACAAGGGTCCACAACCCTATTGCATTTTTATACAAAGCCATTTAAGGGATTGTCCAACTACATACAGTAAAGTAAACTAGTAGGCACAAAGTCTGATAACAATGTAACTTGTGAATAAAACAATATCATCACCCTACCTCTTTATAGTGTGAATACACAATGTTCCAATCTTGACTATAACATTGATATCACACTGGAGAGATAGCTCTAGCGCACCACATAACGTAACCACAGAAACAATCTTTAGCTTTTATCAGTACAAATTGCCCCATTAACATTTTACATGTACTTACAAAAGCATCAAAGTATAAAATGTTAATCATTTAAATAATGTCGGAATAAAAACTGTGTTATAAAAACCTACCTGACCCAACAAATGGGTCAAACACGACCATGTTCTTCTTCACATTTCCTATATTAGCCATTATCATAGATAGACCAGCATCCATGCTTGTGTTGGCTGAAAAAAAAAATTACTGTAAAATTCTAAACAACAGGGGATGCCTTTAATGGCTGCTTACTTTGTAAAATGGTACCCATAAATAACCTAAGACTTTGCCATAATCGTTTTCATTTTATTGTTTCAGTTATGTGTATAATCAATGATCCACGTGACTTACAGAAAATTCTATAAATATCTTTTGGAATGTGTCATTAATGTACAATAAATAAAATGAGTGGGACAGTTTTTTCATATTATAGGCAGTTGTCATATTTTATCCTCAACATTTTTCATTATCTATTAGTGGTCAATGACCATTATAGTAGTCAATCTTTTAAAATATATGTATAGTCTGTCAATTAGGTCCAATTAACAATGAAAAATAAGCATAATGACACTTTAATCTGATAAACCTACATCTAAATATTGTACACCTGAGTTCTTTTCTTCCAATAGAGTATCATTTTATCTATAATATTGAAAAATGTAATTACCCTGTAAAATATAAGTTTACATTCTTATGTTACAAAATTTTAATTTATAACCAAGGCACCTATCTATAAAATGATAACCTACCTATAAAATGTCTTTTTTGAAGGTGAAATTCATTGATCTTATCCCTTTGTCCATCGGCTACCTGCAACAGTTAACCAAAATGATCATCTTGTCAACATTAAATAACTGTACAAATTATCTGACATCATGTCATTGATAATTACACATATGTGTGTAAACTAATCACTAAGTTACACATATGTGTGCAAACTAATCATTAAGTTACACATATGTGTGTAAACTAATCATTAAGTTACACATATGTGTGTAAACTAATCATTAAGTTACACATATGTGTGCAAACTAATCACTTGTTATCTTAATTGGTTCATTTACTGGGTTTAGAATTGAGGTCACATGCCATAGATGTCAAATCATTTTTATAGCAGTATTACCTGATAGAAGAAGTTGCCATTATTTTATTGACCGGGGAAGAACAACTGACCCTCAGCTAGCTATCTGGATGACTTCTTTGTATAAATAAATTAAACATCAATGACTGATTTAAATCCACAGCCATGACAGCATACATGTGAACTTTTTTTCGAAGATCAAGTGGGAGATTTTTCTTCAAAAAGAGGGAGATTTTAGAATTTCGCAAAAAACAAAGAAGGAAGTTCTGACATCAAAAATAGGGAGATTTCTTTAATTTGTTTAAATACCCCTTATTTTAAGAATTTTTTTTTTAAAATATGGCTGCAGAAAGTGGGAGACTCCCGCTTAAAGTGGTAGAGTTCACATGTATGTGACAGGCAAGCATTTTTTTTTCTTATATGGCAACTTTCCATCTTTACTGGTGGAAGAAGACCACAGTTGCCCACCAATGCATTGTTTCAGGCACAAACAGGCACCAGAGTAGAACCACCGACATTCAGTAAGCTAACTACATAGCTCCCTCACTAGTTAGAATCCATGAATGGATTTGAACCCACAACAGTTAGGGGCAAGTAGTTTAAAGTCAACAACCTTAACCACTCAGCTATGGACACCCTTAGCAAAGCATTTAAATTAAAACTGTTTCTAGCCCTATACTGAAACTTTTAGTTTGATTTCAGTTAAGATTCAATGTTGAATTCAATCTATACATTTTTTTAATTCAAATACAAGGTCAAGATATTGCATTCTTATTAATTGTTTTAAGAGTTCAGATTTGCACAAGTGGTTAAGGTGTACAAATTTCAATCGAGGGATCATGGGTTTAAGCCCTTATGGGGCTACGGCCATGTTTCCCAGTTTAACAACAGTGCAGGTAAGTACTAAAAAAAAGTGTTTTAAATCAGTTTCTAACCTTCTTCACAATCAAGATTAATTGTGTTTAATTTGCTTTTTTACAACACTATACAGTGTAGAACAACACTTTACAGGCACAGGTGATGAACATTATGTAGAGCTAAATACAACAAAAAATGTTAACAAGAGCACTGCTAGGCAGAGCATTATATGCCCGAAAGTGATTTTTTTTAGTAAGGATGAAGCATTTGTAAGACATGGGAATTAAATTTTTTTTATTACAACGGATGGACAGAAAGACGCCAGGGATATAACATGATAAAAGCAAATTTTTAGGGCATATAATTAATGTAATCTATATAAGCTGTAGGTTGACTAATACTTAATTTATTGAGCGAAAACCGTTGACCTTGTGATCCAAAAACTAATTGGGGGTCTTCTACTCAATATTGACAATGGTCCTATGAAGTTTGAACACTGTGGGCCAAATGGAACTTAAGTTATGCTCCAGAAACCACAATTTTCAGTGTAAAGATCATTGTGACCTTGACCTTTGACCTTATGACCCCAAAATCAATAGGGGTCTTCTACAGTACAGATATCGAGGAATATGCAAAATCCTCCGAGGATCGAGGAAAACACTCGCAACTCCGCGAGAGTATTTGTCCATAAAAACGAGTGACTCCGCGTGAGAAACGTGTGATGAGAGTGACTCCGAGACGAAAATAGAAGCGCGTGACTCCGAGAGAGAATTACCGCGTAACTCCGTGTCGGTGTCTAGCTAGCTGGTGTAAATAAATGCAAGTGCAAACTCATTTTATATTTAATTTAATTCTTTAGATTACCATTCGAAAATAAAGATGAGTTTTACGGTTGTTGTTTTCAATTTACCCTGAAACAGTTGAAAGGTACATTTGATTAGAAAAAATCACTACCGTAAGCGTCATCAGTTCTATCCCGATTAATTAGGTCAGTAGCAATAACCACAGGAACCCAAAATTTTATCAAAAACAAAAAACGATTTAAAAAATCCATATAATAACGGCCCAACTTTTTTTATACTTCTTTAAGAAATGAATTAATTATATAAACTTCTTAATCTTGAATGTTTCTAAATGCATCAAATACCGATGCGTGCCGTTCTAATTTATTTCAGGTGCCAAATATTGTGTTGTATTTTTTTTTTTCAATGTGGAAAGTGAGTTTCGATCTTCATAATATTTTAATCATTGATAACATGTGCACATCAAAAAAATTGACTTTCCCAACTTTTATATTGGTTTTTATAGTTTTAAAAATTGTCATGATGTGCATGTACGTTTCTTCATAATCCATTGTTTACATGTACATGTATTTTAGTTACGTGTCAACCTGTCACACCCGCCGTTTTAATTAGAAGACACTTGATTTATATATAATTTTTAAGAATTAACATTAATTTAATCGTTTCTAAATAAAGCTGCATAAAACTTAGTAATATATTGTTGTAATTTTATTCCAAGAATATCTCCGAAAATCTGTCGGTCTCATTCTGTTATCAAAGTCATATGTAGATGTATGTTGATATTGATATCAAAAGTCAATCGTCTTGTGATGATCATTAATAAATAAAGATTTTTGTTTTTTATTTCAGGCATTATGGAGGAATTCAAGAGTTATAGAGGTGTTAACAAGTTGACAGAGGCCGTTCAACTTACCTAGCGCACTGCTCCCGTAATTCATTCACCTGTAATCAGCATTACAAAGATTGACAAAAAATAAAAACAGCAAAGAATAAAATGATCATTTTATTGTCTTGTTTTATTTTTCTTTTTGTTTTATTTGTTTATGGTTTGTACATCATCTATATCATGTCATTTTATAAAAATAAAAAACAGTTTTGACAAAGATTAAACTACTTCCGATTTCACGTACATGTACTGTTCATAGACGATAAAACAATATTTTTATAATAGCATATGAACATATTTGATCGTCACAGCAAGCGGGCATGCATTGTACATGTACGTATGTGGATTGAAAAAGACCGCCATGCCTTTAAAAAATCACTGCCAATCTCAATGTTCTTGTTTTATAATTCATGGTTTTATTTTTGAGACGACGCAGCGCCTGTTGTTTTCCCCCTGCAAACATCGGTAGAATTTCATAAATGAATTCCTTAATGTTGTCCTTTCTTGTGCTGCCAACATCGGTAGAATTGCCTAGCAGATCGAACTTCTTAACTCTGTTCTATATTGTTCTGAAAGCAATAGTAAAATAAATTTAAACATTAATGTTAAAAGCAGGACTGTACATGCCGACATAGGGTGTCGCTGTTTTGGCTAGTGCATTGTATGGAATGATGTATTATATCTCGTATTTCACGGATTTTTTTATCAACCAACAAATAAAAGGAGACGTACATGTACTTCACATGGAAATCAGTTTGGTATCATTTATGTAACTGGTACTTGTCGACCTAAGCACGTTGTTGTTTTGCCATGTATTTCCTTTTTTTTTTTCTTCTTCTTTTTTTGCTTACATAATAATTATAAATTTGTATAAACAATGCAAAAAAGAAGCTCATCTATATTTTCTTATTTTAGAATACTAAATTAAATAGGTTTTTGACACTGAGCGTTACGGGAATTGCGGGAAATCATCGGTTATTCTTTCCTTTAATTAATTAATGAATCAAGTGTGTCTACTTTCGTTTTCACTTGTAATACTTTACATCAACGAAGAATTTTCGACAACATTGTTATTTTGAATGAATAATACATGCGTTGAAGGATTTTATTTTAGAGGTAGAGCATTATATTAATTAATAAATAAATAAAAGCATACGTTTACCAAATCAGTCTTATTTTCTCGGAGTCACTCTTTTTGACTCGGAGATTCACGGAGTTCCGCGGACAAAATTGTCACTCGTTTTTGTCTCGGAGTCACTCTTTTTCACCCGAGAAATTTATAATCCACTCGGAGTCACGCTTTTTGAGATTACTCGATACTCGCAGGATTTTGCATATTCCTCGATATCTGTACTGTACCTAATATGGACAATCATCCTATGAAGTTTGAATATTGTGGGCCAAATGGAACATAAGTTATGCTCCTGAAACTGTTTTCAGTTTTAAGGTAATAGTGACCTTTGACCTTGTGACCCGCAAATCAATAGATGTCTTCTATTCAATATGGACAATCATCCTATGAAGTTTGAATATTTTGGGCCAAATGGAACTTAAGTTATGCTCAGGAAACTGTTGTCAGTGTTAAGGTAATAGTGACCTTGACCTTTGACCTTGTGACCCCAAAATCAAAAGGGGTCTTCTATCCAATATGGACAATCATCCTATGAAGTTTGAATATTGTGGGCCAAATGGAACTTAAGTTATGCTCCTGAAACTGTTTTCAGTTTTAAGGTAATAGTGACCTTGACCTTTGACCTTGTGACCCCAAAATCAATAGGGGTCTTCTACCTAATATGGACAATCATCCTATGAAGTTTGAATATTGTGGGCCAAATGGAACTTAAGTTATGCTCCGGAAACCATATTGCTAACGGACGGACACACATTCTCACAGGACAGTAATTTTGTTCTCTCTATTGTTCTTTTAGCCACACAAAAGAAAATAGCCACATAAAAGCATTACAGAATAAATGACATCAAAGAGAAAGAACAGTTATCTATTGTCCCTCTAGCCACATAATTACTGTCCTGTGAGTGCGGACGGACGTACTCACAAAATGGTACTTATGTGACTTTTCCTTTGATCTATTTGGCCATTTTTAATCACACAAGGCCTAAAAACAGACACAAAAAATAAAAATGGAATGAATAGGATCAAAGAGAATGTACTGTTACCTATTGTTCTCCAAGTCACACAAGTACCTCTGTGTTTGTACGGATGGACAGACGGACGGACGCCAGGGGTTATAAAATAATATGCCCGAAATTTCTTCGGGCATATAAAAAGTGTTGTTGGAAGGATGGTGTGCTTGACTATTCTCAGTGCCTAACACTAACATAAGAGGCTGTATAATGTTAAATTCAAAAAGTGTCGTAATTTTTTATAAATCCATGATAGAATTATGGGCCTTGGACTGGACAGTGACCTCCTATTATCCCCTCACATAAGTGTGCGAAGTTTCAACTCATTCCATTCAGTAGTTTGTGAGATATTAAAGCAGATGAGCAAAAATGTTTCGATAAAATCAAACCTGGGAAAAATGTACTTAAGATTTTAGGAATAGAATAAAGATTCAAAATTCTATTACAAATTTACATGTTATGTGCGATTAATGACTGATTTTTTTAGTATAACTATATTTCTACTGCGTTACTAACGCAGTAAGGGCTATTTTTGCATATTTTGACCTCTTTATAGTAATTTACCTAGGTTGTAAGTGCCATTGATAATGTGTAAATTGAATTCTTTTAGTAACTTTACAATAATATACTGTTAAAAACATTTTCAAATTTTCAAGAAAATTAACATGAATGTTCTGCTTTAAGCTCTCCTTTTCTTAAAATAGTCAAGCTAATATGAGCCGCATCATGACGAAACCAACATAGTGGGTTTGCAACCAGCATGGATCCAGACCAGCCTGCGCATCCGCGCAGTCTGATCAGGATCCATGCTGTTCGCTTACCAACTCTATTACAAGAGGAGAAACTGACAGCGAACAGCATGGATCCTGATCAGACTGCGCTGATGCGCAGGCTGGTCTGGATCCATGCTGGTCGCAAACCCATTATGTTGGTTTTGTCATGACGCGGCTTAAATAATGTGTGAAAGTACCTACCCATTTTGTAAAGTATATGTCAAGAGGTTCCTCTGTTCCCTGTTTGCAGAATGGTCCATAATACTCTACAATATGGTAAATATGCTTAGCATTCTTCAAATCCACCTTACCTTGGAAATCTAAAACATTTTCATCTAGACTCTGTAATAGTAAAAAACACATGTCTCTAACATACAGAATAAGTTAACCTATATATCTATCTATTGTACTACATTATTATTATTACAGCATGGTACAATATCAGGTCACCTTTCCGTAATACTTTAAATCTTATAAAAGACAAAAGTTGAATTTAAATCAATAAGATGCATTTCAGATCACTTTACATAAACTTTAAAGAAAATAGAAAATTAAAAGTAGTAAATAAAGTAATTTTAACAATGACTTTTTATACACCTGTATGATACAAGATGTTTTCTGTTTGGTTGCTGCTTGTGCACATTAGGGACTGTTTTTTTTTGTTTTTCTTTTTATTTTGGTTTTAAGCCATGCAGTCATATGGCCACTTTCTACCTTTAGTGATGGAAGAAGATCCCAGGTTACCCCCTCATAGATACCTGAGTAGAAGCACCAACTAAGTAAGCTAGCTAGCTAGCTTCCTCAAGTCAAGAATCCAAAATCAAAGGCAGAAATCGAGCAAACCGCAGTAATTGGCAAGTAATTTGAAATTATTGGGTCAATAAGATCCCTAAAGCTGAATATTTACAAGTATAAAATATAGATAAAAATTGTTATACCTCTATTTTCTTGATCTTATCTTTGTTAGATACAGTCCTGTTGAATGTTGTCACTTGAAACTTGAATGATTTCTGACATTTCACATGCGGTTCCTTTTGAAATAAAGAAAACAAAAGCACATTTCTTTCTTGATAATTTAAATGTATCACCAAAATGAGGAATTTTATTTCTTTTAATTTTGGTTTTTATCAAAGTATATAACAAATTATATTCCAGCTCAAACTAAAACACATCTGTAACAGCTTTATAACAAAAAAATCAAAATCTTATATAATTCACATAATTCATGCCCATTTGCAACCTAACTTGTATGTCTAAATCAACAAGCTGAGTTAAGAAAACACTGAATAAATCTTTTATAATGAACATATTTACACAAAAACACACAGAGTACACACAATGTTATACAATGAATTTCAATGTATATACACTGTAGTGTATAGGTCCAGAAAATATAAATTACATAAAAAAATAAATGATATAATGGCCAAAATTTTACGATTATATGATGGGTAAACAAGGATGGCTAAATCTTATTCTAAACCCTTAAAACGTCTGGTGGCAACTAATTCGACCAATGTGACAAGTGTAGACTAAGTTCTGCAGGTATATCCATACCATTTGATTGTGATCTGCACTATTCACTATTCAGCCACTAGATACAGTGTAACTTCCGAAAACCGAACACCCATGGGACTTATCAAAAAGTTCGGATTTCAGAGGTTTCCGGAATTCAGAGGTTTATGATAATGTGGACAAGACTAAGCCACTTAATATCACTAAATGTCAAGGAAGATGTGGCCATTACTGTAATATCATATATAATAGTCTTTTAATCAAAATAAAGATGTGAATGAAAAGAATACATTTTTATCTTACCTGCAAATGCTTTTGGATTTCTATCAGTTTGTAGAAATGTTGTTAATTGCATAAACTTACATATCGTCCGATGCTAGTTAATTAATTATTACATCAAATGCAATAAAATCCCTAAAGACGTCATTTAATCCGCTAATAAACACTTCAAATTAACTGACTGCCGTAAATTACTTTGATTAACCGCATCACTTCAAACATACCATTTTACAGTTTGTGATTTTAACGCATGTCAAATTACACGATCACCGCTAATTAGTAAACAATCGATACAATCGCAACTACTCGGCCCTTTCCGTCACGTCAGTCTTCGGATAAGGACCTCAAAATAACACAATAGTATAAATACACAGAACGGATGCGGTATTTCGGTCTAACCTGCGCTAAGAAACTAAACATGTAAACAAATAGTAATTTAATGCTGGGAGTTGTTGACAAGTTTATTTCCAATATATGCAGTAAAATTCCACCTAAAATAAGTGAATTCATAGGTACAAAAGCAAACAATTCATTATTTCTATATTTATTATCATGATTGTAGAAACCGAAAGTACAAAAAACCAACCTGTTGACATTTAGTCGGATTTGTTTAAAATTGAACATCAGTGGGCATATTTAAATAACACATTTTTGTCAGACATATTTTCAAGCATAAGAGTACCGGGACAGACATATAAAGATGTCAAATATATACATTCATTTTACATTATCTCTGTTTCTGTTTACATTTGAAACCACGTGGTAGAACTTCTTCCAATCCGTTTTGTTTTCGAGGTTATTACAGATAATAGCCGAGGCAGTTCCGAATGCAATCGATAGGGAGATTAAATCTTCCTGCAGGGTTAACATTCTCAATTTACAATGTATTTCACACCTTTGGATATTTCCGGTTTTTGGAGGTAAAATTGCATTGATTTGACTCTAATTTTACGAAAATATCGTCCGGAATTCAGAATTTAGAAGTTCCGGAATTCAAAAGTATTATATTAATAGAAAATAGAAGGGAAAAAATCGGGACCGAAAAAATTGTTCGGTTTTTAGAAGTTTCCGGATTTCAGAAGTTCTGGAACTCGGAAGTTACACTGTATATATGTTGATATTTTCCCTAATATTGATTAATGGTTTTGTGCAGATAAAAAGATGGACTGGACCAATTAAAATATTTAGCTTGGTGCTAATAAGATACTTACAATAAATGTTTTAGGAAGTTGTCGCAGCTCTGAATTCAACTCAGAATATGTTGTTCCATGGGCCCATAGCTCGTACACTGACCTGACCATAAAATAATTTGTAATGAACTTCTTTTAATGTTATTGTTACTGTAATATTTAAATGTATATATATGGCATTTCTAAATGTACAATACTTTGTCACTAGTAAAATACTGTACATAACATAAAGTAGTTTTGTTCTGTTTTTAGGACTGTTAAAACAGCTAATATTAAATTTTGTCCATTTAATTATATTCACAAGTATAATATCACGGGCAAAAAATATAAAGAAAAAAGTGCCAATTAATAATTGGTTCCCAGTTACCTGATCAGTATGGCCCGGCTCGTGATATTCATTACACTCTCAACAGATGGAAGGTGAAGTATCATAAATGGATTCTGAAACAAAAGTAAAACATTCATTGCTATTATTGTACTCCTACAGTTGTAATTCTTTAACAGTTAACTTCCTAGAAGCAACTGAATATACCCATGTGACCAGTGCAGACAGCAACTCAATATACCTATGTGACCAATACAGGCAACAACTTAATATACCCATGTGACCGATACAGGCAACAAATGAACATACCTATGTGACCAGTACAGGCAACAACTGAATATACCCATGTGACAAGTAAAGGCAGCAACTGAATTTACCTATGTGACCAGTACAGGCAGCAACTTATTATACCCATGTGGCCAGTACAGACAGCAACTGAATTTATCTATGTGACCAGTACAGAAAACAACTGAATTTACCTATGTGACCAGTACAGACAGCAACTGAATTTACCTATGTGACCAGTACAGACAGCAACTGAATTTACCTATGTGGCCAGTACAGACAGCAACTGAATTTACCTATGTGACCAGTACAGACAGCAACTTATTATACCCATGAGACCTGTGCAGACAGCAACTGAATTTACCAATGTGGCCAGTACAGACAGCAACTGAATATACCTATGTGACCATTACAGACAGCAACTGAATACACACATGTGACCAGTACAGGCAGCAACTTAATATAACCATGTGACCTGTGCAGACAGCAACTGAATTTACCTATGTGGCCAGTACAGAAAGCAACTGAATTTACCTATGTGGCCAGTACAGACAGCAACTGAATATACCTATGTGTCCAGTACAGGCAGCAACTTAAAATACCCATGTGGCCTGTGCAGACAGCAACTGAATTTACCTATGTGACCAGTACAGGCAGCAACTTAATATACCCATATGACCTGTGCACACAGCAACTGAATTTACCTATGTGACCAGTACAGGCAGCAACTTATTTTACCCATGTGGCCAGTACAGACAGCAACTGAATTTACCCATGAGGCCAGTACAGACAGCAACTGAATTTACATATGTGACCAGTACAGGCAGCATTTTATTATACCCATGAGACCTGTGCAGACAGCAACTAAATTTACCAATGTGGCCAGTACAGACAGCAACTGAATATACCTATGTGACCAGTACAGGCAGCAACTGAATATACCCATGTGACCAGTACAGGCAGCAACTGAATATACCTATGTGACCAGTACAGGCAGCAACTGAATATACCCATGTGACCAGTACAGGCAGCAACTGAATATAACCATGTGACCAGTGCAGACAGCAACTAAATTTACCCATTCGGCCAGTACAGACAGCAACTGAATACACACATGTGACCAGTACAGGCAACAACAGGATATAACCATGTGACCTGTGCAGACAGCAACTGAATTTACCCATGTGGCCAGTACAGACAGCAACTGAATACACACATGTGACTGGTACAGACAGCAACTGAATTTACCCAAGTGGCCAGTACAGACAGCAACTGAATACACACATGTGACCAGTACAGGCAGCAACTAAATATAAACCATGTGACCTGTGCAGACAGCAACTGAATTTACGTATGTGGCCAGTACAGACAGCAACTGAATACACACATGTGTTCAGTACAGGCAGCAACTAAAATAAACCATGTGACCTGTGCAGACAGCAACTAAATTTACCAATGTGGCCAGTACAGACAGCAACTGAATACACACATGTGACCAGTACAGGCAGCAACTGAATACACACATGTGACCAGTACAGGCAGCAACTAAATATAACCATGTGGCCTGTGCAGACAGCAAACTGAATTTACCTATGTGGCCAGTACAGACAGCAACTGAATACACACATGTGACCAGTACAGGCAGAAACTTAATATAACCATGTGACCTGTGCAGACAGCAACTGAATTTACCTATGTGGCCAGTACAGACAGCAACTGAATTTACCTATGTGACCTGTGCAGACAGCAACTGAATATACATATGTGACCAGTACAGGCAGCAACTTAATATACACATGTGACCTGTGCAGACAGCAACTGAATATACCTATGTGACCAGTACAGGCAGCAACTTATTATACCAATGTGGCCAGTACAGACAGCAACTGAATTTACCCATGTGGCCAGTACAGACAGCAACTGAATTTACCTATGTGACCAGTACAGGCAGCAACTTATTATACCCATGAGACCTGTGCAGACAGCAACTGAATATACCCATGTGACCAGTACAGACAGCAACTGAATATACCCATGTGACCAGTACAGACAGCAACTGAATACACACATGTGACCAGTACAGGCAGCAACTGAATATACCTATGTGACCAGTACAGACAGCAACTGAATACACACATGTGACCAGTACAGGCAGGAACTGAATATACCCATGTGACCAGTGCATACAGCAAATGAATATACCTATGTGACCAGTAAAGGCAGCAACTGCATATACCCATGTGATCAGTACAGACAACAAATGAATATACATATGTGACCACTTCAGTCGGCAACTGAATATACCTATGTGACCAGTAAAGGCAGCAACTGAATATACCTATGTGACCAGTAAAGGCAGCAAATGAATATACCTATGTGACCAGTAAAGGCGGCAACTGAATATACCTATGTGACCAGTAAAGGCGGCAACTGAATATACCTATGTGACCAGTAAAGGCGGCAACTGAATATACCTATGTGACCAGTAAAGGCGGCAACTGAATATACCTATGTGACCAGTAAAGGCAGCAAATGAATATACCTATGTGACCAGTAAAGGCGGCAACTGAATATACCTATGTGACCAGTAAAGGCGGCAACTGAATATACCTATGTGACCAGTAAAGGCGGCAACTGAATATACCTATGTGACCAGTAAAGGCGGCAACTGAATATACCTATGTGACCAGTAAAGGCGGCAACTGAATATACCTATGTGACCAGTAAAGGCGGCAACTGAATATACCTATGTGACCAGTAAAGGCAGCAACTGAATATACCTATGTGACCAGTAAAGGCAGCAAATGAATATACCTATGTGACCAGTAAAGGCGGCAGCTGAATATACCTATGTGACCAGTAAAGGCGGCAACTGAATATACCTATGTGACCAGTAAAGGCGGCAACTGAATATACCTATGTGACCAGTAAAGGCGGCAACTGAATATACCTATGTGACCAGTAAAGGCGGCAACTGAATATACCTATGTGACCAGTAAAGGCAGCAACTGAATATACCTATGTGACCAGTAAAGGCAGCAACTGAATATACCTATGTGACCAGTAAAGGCAGCAAATGAATATACCCATGTGACCAGTGCAGGCAGCAACTGCATATACCCATGTGACCAGTGCAGGCAGCAACTGAATATACCCATGTGATCAGTACAGACAACAAATGAATATACCTATGTGACCACTTCAGGCGGCAACTGAATATACCTATGTGACCAGTAAAGGCAGCAACTGAATATACCTATGTGACCAGTAAAGGCAGCAAATGAATATACCTATGTGACCAGTACAGACAGCAACTGAATAATTATAATTTCTTTCGTTTGAGCAGACGAATTAGAAAGAAATTATTTTCCCTTCAATCGTGTAAAGTCTCCGATAGGGGTCGCGATTAGCGCACGAAGTTTTCGTGCGTAACGGTAGTCAAGTTATGTGTCAGTTCAGCTTTGGGTTACTGACCATTCTACACGTCGATTATTTTTTACGTTCTATAAGTAGATATATTGGCGAAACAAAAATCTTGTGTCTCAATTTAAATCATTATGTTTATAGTATGTGACAATTCTTGAAGAATTTGAATATTTATCTATAAATGTGTGACGAACGTTTTAATATACCACATAAGTGTTAAAAGTTTGCGAATGGATTCATTCGTGAAGGACAATGTGTTTCATAAATAATGAAATGAAATGAAGGACAGTAGTGCATTAATAAAAACATTATAATGACAATGAATATATATATGTGTGTGTGTGTGTTTGATATTATGTACAAATGTGTGGTTTGGTCAGTATAGCGACCCAAGTGCTTTCCGCAATTAAATATGAAATTATGAAATGATAATTGTGTTTGTTTGTTTCTTCTTAGTTAAGGAGACGATATAAGGTTTAAGGGAATTATATATCTTTGAAGAAACTGATGACATGGAAAAAAATGTATTTTGAACAATTAGTACATAATTCAACAAAGTTTGATTCTTATAGATAAAACCTCATACAGTATCTATTAAAATAATTTGAAACAATTAAATACTCACTTCTACATCATGTTTTGGAATTTCTATTTTTAAATTTAAGACATTTAGAATTGATTTCAGCTCCTGAAAAATAAAAATTGAAAAAAAAATTACATCAATATTCATTTCATATTTTATATCAATATAAATTCCACACAAAAGGGAAGTAAGAAATGAAGGTAAAATAAATTGTTTTCTCTATCTAAGTACATTTAGAATGTTGTCTTTTTTGTACACTTGTCCCTGTTTAAGAAGGGGTGATTCATCTTTGTTTCTATCTCTATTTGGTACCTTACCAAATTAAGTGCCTTTCATAAAAACTGTCATAAATGTAGAATGTTGAAAGTGTTCATTTATTTTATAAATTGTTAACAGACTGTTTCACATAATATTTTAGAAGTTATGTTTGCTGTTGTATGGTATAAATTTTTTAAGATGCTAAAACTACAAGCTATACCACCCTTAAAAACTACATGTAGTTATTTTGTTAATAAAATTGTGCTGACAATGAAGTTCTGAAATTGTATTATGAACATCCTTATCTTGGAATATAAAACATGTTAAAGAATCATCTAGAGATTTTTTTGTCTTCAGAAAATTTGTATTTATTGTTATTATAATTCAATAGATCTTGAGATAAAATAATATGATTTAGTTCTTAAATGTGTAAACATTTACCGCAATTCTAAAGTCAAGGTGGTCATTTGCAAAATGAAGTAAAAACTTCCTCAGTTTTTGGTCACTGGAGGTGGACATTTTGAATGGTGTAAAGCAGTGTACAGTTTTCAATGCTTCTTTGCCAACGACTGTCTGCATCACAATCAAAACTGCCAGACACTACACATCTGAAATCATTGCACATCATATTCAATATACAGTCTAACCTCTGCCTAACAATAACCTCATCAAGACAGTCACCTCTTATCCACAGTCACTTCATAATGCTCATGTCCAAAATTCTAAATACATGTTCATTAACTTATCTACAACCCGAGCACCCAAACTTGCATCTATGAAGATTGAAAGCTTTCTTCCAAAGGGTGCATTAAAATGTCTAACATCTTTAATTAATAGTTAAAAAATTGAATCTTAAATTTGTTCAATTACATGCACAAAAATAATGCGTTTGGTAAACACAAATGCCCCCAGCCCAGATTCTTGCCAGTTATAAAATTTTCCAAGAAGGTTTCCTAATCCACTCAGTTATGGATTATGGAAATGAGAGATTGCTAAAAAGATATTGATAACCCAGTTATATAATTTGACAGGGTCTTGGCCATTTGTTAATGTAAATAAAACAAAAAACAAGAGAACCATGATGGTCCTGAATTGCTCACCAGAAACAACTGCTTTTCAGTGTTCAAATGAACTTGCCATAAACCAATAGCAGGTTCCACAAGAATATCAACTTAACATAAACCCATAGCACGTTCACAAGAATATCTTGTTGAATGACTATACATTAAGTCAGCATATAAATACATTAATTTTTGGCTGTTCAAAAGTGAAAAAGAAAAAAAAGTTTTACATTTTAACAAATTAGTGAAACTGTCACATCCAAAAAATCATATTTTAACTCTTTTTTTCTAATTAAATTCCTATAAAGCCGATAAAACAATGGCCATCACACAGTGCATAAAATCTGATTGGCTAGTTAAATGAAAGCGTTTTAAATGAGTCAAAAGTTTCAAACGAAATATTTTTGAATGAAACATTTCAGTGTGTATGAATTAATTTTTTTCCATTCAAAAATTTAGAATCAATCTGTAAAGCACTTTACTTAACCAACAGCGATTTTCACAAATTTTTATCATAAGTGAAATCTTACGATAAATCTCCTTTTCACAAAATATCTTATGAAAATCTTAAGTGTAAAATCTGTCATAACTTTACGATAGGTGTTACCCATTCGTAAGTGTAATTTTTTTATCTCTTTTAGAGTAAAATATCATGTATCTTTTATATAAACAGAATGAAAACAAACAAAACATGGAAGAACAAATATATTATAAGCAAACAGTGTGTTATAAATAACACAAATTAAGTAAAAAATATTTTTCCAACATTGACATTTGTGACATCATGACTTGATGACATCATGGTGGAGAGGGTTAAGAATACAAATGTAGTTTATACGTGAAGTACCGTAAAATTCCTATTAAACGCCCCCAGGGCTAAACATTTTCCAAAAGGGGGGCTATTGTTACAACAAGTTTTTTTCTAAATCCAAAAACCATTGAAAATACATTTAGTGTTAACAAGTGTTGGTAAGTGTTTCTGTTTACTATGAAATTAATTTAGAAAGCAGGGATCACATTTCTAGGCGACTTGGGCGACAAAGTCGCCTTGTCTCTCTCCATTTTGCCCGGATCGCTCAGAAAAGCGAAAACAAAGTCGCCCTAATTTTCAACAAACGCTTGCAATAAATTTTAAAGTGTCAAGCACCTCGGTAATCGTCTACGCTCCTCCTATTTCAAAGCGATTTGTTAAAGCATTTCCATTGGTCGGTAAGATTGGAAAGCCAATGAAACGCAGCGAGACAATTTAGCGAGTGTTGGAATTGAATGGTTGACATCTTCGGGTATTGTCAAATGCCGACTGATTATCAATAAACAACAAATAAACAGATTAGCGGCGATTCATGTCAATTAGGATAAATTGGGGGCATACTTATTGCATTAATTAGTTGGTAAGTTTAGTGATCTTATCTGTACAAAAACGTGTCGCCAAAAGTGTTGGTCACATGTATCGATGTTTACAATTGTCTCAGCAATTTTGAAAATGGATCTCTGTTATAAATGTTGGTGATGATTTATCCCTTGATTATTATTCTTTAATAGAACTTTTTTACCGATAGATTTAATGCATTATGCAGAAAAAGTCTGTCGAAGAAAAAAAAATTATCAACTATCTACACGTTAGATTTTCTTTAAAAAATAAATAAAATTAAAAAAAATCCACATAAACCTTATTAAGTTTATATGAACTTTAACTCGGCACTCCCTATGAATATTTCTGGGGAAAATAATGAAAAACATGTATAGGGCCTAGGGGCCTACTAGTGATACTAAAAATTTTTTTTTTTATTTCAGCACATCACATGGCTGCAGCATTAAAATCAAAACATTGTTTAACAAGCTACATAAAACCTATGATAAAGATGGTATAGAAGGAGAAAAAAACTGCCACATTTGTAATTTTGCTGTATATTGTTATGAGTTACTTAATAAACTGTTATGTACTCCACATAATGTTAATCAATCTTATAACTTAGAAATGGAACATCAACACTTCAAAAAAATGCAGTTCGTATGCACTTCTCCTTGTCCCTAAAAACTTCTCCCTATTTTCATTGGAGGGAGAAGTCACTTCTCCCTAAATTTTAGGTCTAGCGTGATCCCTGGAAAGTAACACTACCTTGTTTTCTGAAGAAAATGAAATATTTCATGAGTCTCTATGATAATTTTGACTTGGATATTTGCATTTATAAAAAGTTGTATGTCAGTCCTGTGATCAGCAGAAAATTTCAATGAAATGGGGGGTAATCCTCTTTGAAGTCATTTTGCAAAAAATTTGGTTGGTTACCCCTATATAACAGGAACATTTTTATGTGTCAGGCATTTCATTTTGCTAGGAAAATCACCTCTTTAGCATGAAAATTCAATTTTAAGGTAGGATTAGCGACCATTTCTTATAATGTAAGTCTATGAAAACATCAATGTGAGTGTCTGACCTACACTTAAGTTTTTTCATGTTTCAGTTTAAATTTCTACATGTCATTTTGCTTAACTTTAAGGTGATTCTGCTTTGTCAGCCATGTTTGTTTTCACGAAGTCTGTCCAAAGTGAAAGTAGGCCAAAATTCATATAACAACAAAGCTCACATTGTTATATGATGAGCCATTTGCAAGTACACTTCCAGTTCTATGTTTTAAAAACTATTTAAAACAAAAATAAAAATGATAACAATAAGAAAAATTACCTTGAATGTGCTACATTTCTGAAGACCAAAAACATTCTGTTGCAAAGTTTTATGCACATTTCATGAATGGCAAAATCCTTTTTAAAGTCTGTTTAAGTGCCTACAAAAGCTACTTTTTGACGAAAATACAAAAAACTTTAAAAAATATAAACCTTAGGAAAGTAGTTTATCCGACCTTGAAAAAACATGGCCACCATGACATGTGTAAAAAAGTAGTACCATGAAAATAAACAACATTTATCTATCTCTTGTGTACATGACAAACAGACACACTTCACTGTTACACATAAAAAAGGTTAGATTTTAAAGTTTGATAGTGTTTTCATTTTAATTGTAGTTCATAAGGCTATAAATGATGATTGTTTTCTTGCACTACTTTTTTACAAAAAGTAATGGAGGCCATGTGCTTAGAAGGACATGAGATATGGATTTATTTGGAGTTAAGTTTTGAAAGATTTTTGTATTTGCTGCAAAAAATAGCTTTTGTAGGCACTAAAACAGACTTAAAAAAGGAGTTTGCCATTCATGAAATGTGCATAAAACTTTGCAACAGAATGTTTTTGGTCTTCAGAAATGTAGCACATTCAAGGTAAATATTCTTATTGTTATCATTTTTATTTTTGTTTATAATTGTCCTTAAAATATAAACCTGGAAGTGTACTTTCAAATGGTTCATCATTTTAAAATAAGAGCTTTGTTGTTATATGAATTTTGGCCTACTTTCACTTTGGACAGACTTCGTGAAAACAAACATGGCTGACAAAGCGGAATCACCTTAAATATTAAAACTAACTTTACCTTGTAACTCAAAATTTAATTTTTGTGACGCCTTGAAAAAGGCGACATATAGGGGTTACTTTTGTCGGCGGTGTCGTTGTCGGCGTCATTGTCAATGTCGTTGTCGGCGTCCCCTAAAGCTTGTCCAGAGCATAAGTCAGTCATTATAAGTTGGATTGACTTCAAACTTGGTATGCATGCTTCTTACAATGACCTGAAGTGCAGTGCACAAGAACCGGTACTCTGAACTTCTTATTTCTTGAGTTATTGCCCTTTGTTAATTTTCATACTTTATTTTTGTCCGAGCCATTTCTCCTACAGTATACAATCTATGGACTTGAAACTTCATAGGATAATTATCATTAAGAAGAAGTGCAGTGCATAAGAACTGGTACTCTGCATTTCTTATTTTTTGAGTTATTGCCCTTTGTTAATTTTCATACTTTATTTTTGTCGAGCCATTTCTCCTAAAGTATAAAAGCTATGGACATGAAACTTCATAGGATGATAGATCTCATTAAGAAGAAGTGCAGTGCACAAGAACTGGTACTCTGCATTTCTTATTTTTTGATTTATTGCCCTTTGTTGATTTTCAAATTTCATTTTTGTCCTGGCCACAGGCGCTAGTCACATAATCAAATATTTTACATAATCGGTCTATATATGTATATAAAGATATAAGGCCCCCAACGAAACAAAAACATCATGCAGAACAAACAAGAACACTGCTGAAAGAAACGACCAGATCACGGTTATCTCTTTCTGGTCGCCATCTGAAAGGATCAATCCAAGCGTTAAAGCTTTTTATTTCATTAAAATTCTTCAAATAGCAAAGAAATGAGTAAAAGTTTCAGAAAATGCCAATATTTTCAATCCATGTCGTTTTCGACGTCCAATCTATTCATGTATACAAACACGATTTCTGGTCGATTTCTACGAAATAAATAGAAGACATCTAAAATTTCCTCATAAAATTCATAAACAAACTCTTTTTCCATCAATCTGCGAAGTCTAAATTGAACTAGAGTCCTCTTTGTACTCAAATATTTAAAAAATATTGGTTGTAGAAGCGGAGGTCAAGTAAAGTGCGCCATTTGTAATTTGAAGTGACAGATAAATGAAGCAAAGAAATAGTATTATACGATTGGTCAATAGTATTCCGGTAATTATCTTAACCAATCAAATCCTTATATAATATTCAGAGCGGAACAGTATATACATGCGCTATACATGGCGATAAAATACTGTCACAAGCGAGAACCTTGTGTATTTTTTAATGAAATACGTACGAAGAGGGCATTTGATCAGTGAAGACTTCGCAGATCAATAGGAAAAGAGTTTGTTTATGGAACGTACGTGGAAATTCTAGCCGTTTTTTGTTTTTTTCCGTAAAAATTTATCAGAAATCGTGTTTGTATACATGAATGGACTGGACGTCGAAAACGACATGAATTGAAAATATTGGCATTTTCTGAAACTTTTACTCATTTCTTTGCTATTTGAGGGATTTTAATGAAATAAAAAGCGTTGGCACTTGGATTGATCCTTTCAGATGGCGACTAGAAAGAGATAACCGTGATCTGGTCGTTTATTGCAGCAGTGTTCTTGTTTGTTCTGCATGATGTTTTTGTTTCGTTGGGGGCCTTATATCTTTATATACATATATAGACCGATTATGTAAAATATTTGATTATGTGACTAGCGCCTGTGGTCCTGGCCATTTCTTCTAAACTATATTGTTCACAGGGCGACACATCCGACTCGCGGGGCTCTAGTTCAACAAACAAGAACATTTAGAAAATAATGGTTGTTTCAGATAACTTAAACATGTTGCAAATCGTGTGTAGGCCGAATCGAATGCAATTCGGTATTTGTCGCGAAAACTAATGACAAACCGTAAGAAGTTCATCCCTTTGACATCCTACGAGAAATTTAATTTTAAATAAGATCCAGCGATACAAGCTGTTTAAGAGCTACACAACCTGAAACTTACACTATAAGGTTTTATTTCTACATCAGGTTCTTTCACGTTTTTTCAATATTCCCACTAAACTTTAACTTTTAGGCTAAAGACGCCTATTGAATTTGTTTCATAAATTTAGGTCAGACTCATATATTGATTTTCCCATAGACTTACATTATGAGATAAGTTCCATAATTCTACCTTAAACTTGAGTTTCCGTGCTAAAGAGGTGATTGTTCTAGGAGAATGAACGCCTGACACATAAAAATGATTTTGTTATATAGGGGTATCCAACCAAGGATTATCCCCCTAACTTTTCATCAAAACAGGACTGACGACCTAGTATGGGCCCAGTGTACTTCTAGTAGTACGAATACTAATGAAGGGGCACGTAATGCCCTTCCGTGCATTATTTCAGGCACACATGGGACCTGAGTAGAACCACAGATGTTCCATTAGTTATGTGGATAATTTAATCCAAAGATAAGTTCTGGCTTCCATAACTTTATATGTAGCTTTTATTTTGACGTTGCGACAGTCTAGCAGTACTATAAAACCTGTTCGCTGAAGTATCTTTAGCAATCCAAAGATGTGAGGGGCAAGTGGTTTACTGTTGATGACCTTGACCACGCATAATTTGCTGGTATTTTCTGGACATGTGTCAACTAGTCATGATCTAGGCCATATTACCTAAGACTGAAAGGTTATAGGCGACATATCCCAAAATTAAAGAATGGCATCTCCTTAAATTTATACATGTACTGCAATGATTCACAGGCTTTATGCTCCCTTACTCGCTGCTGCTTCACAAACAGCTTCCTGTCTCATATCCTTGCATTAAAGAGATGGATCAGCGTCTGCACTTTCCGCTATCATGGTAAATGGGAGATAACCCCTAAATGTGCTTAGTGCGTACATTGGTTATGCTATCTTGATAATGTTTATGTTAGATTGTCACACATGTATGTGCTTAGTTGAGAGTGCAACGTTAACTTAACTGTTTTCTACCAAATTTTACAATATTGATTGCTATATATTTGTCAGTTAGTAAGTAATATATATATTTTATAGTTAGTAAGCTTTATATTTTTGTTAAATTTGTAAATATACTGTTTATATATTGGATTACCTATAAGTACGCTATGTTAAAACTATGAAAACAAATAAAATATTCGAACCTTCTCAGCAAAATATCTGCTTATTTGTATTACAAGATTGACAATAAACTGTTGACTATAAATTGCGTGTGATTTGAAAAAGTATGTAAATGTTATGTTTTTGTGTTATGTTACCTTGCTTACGTTACATTCCGTTGTATTATATTTTGTTTGTTATGAACGCACTATTATTATATATGTATTTTGCTACTGCTACTGCTGTGCTACTGCCAACTTCACGTTTTATATGTTTGCTACTGCATCTACTGCTACTGCCTAGTGATATTATTAATATTTTAGCATCAGAATATCATTTTTAATTGGCGCCATCCTATTCTATTCAATCTACTTTAATGTAAGAAACCAGTTATTTGGACATAACCACACCTGATATCTTTGCATATATCTTCGCATTAGTGTATAACATGAAAATGCTATACTAAATGTACCTCTTAAAATAAGTACAGACACTCTTGATAATTTACATGCTTCTCAGAAAAAAATTAATTTCACCATGTTTATATTTGCATATTTAAAATTGTTGTTCGGTGTTTGCCCATATAATTTTCATTTACATGTACATTGAACAAAGGTCTGTACTTGCTGATTTGCAGGGGAAAAAGAAACCCGATTTATACTACCAACCACAGAAAATATCATAAAAGGATGAAAACATAGAAACTATGATAATAATGATAATAATAAAGACTTTATTTAAAGAGGCAACATAGTTAGGCAAGCCCAGTCTTCCCTATGAGCCTCTATCAAAAATGTACATATATACAGTTACAAACAAAGATTTATATAAACAAAGAAAGAAAACTTAATGTATACAAGTTATACAACATAGAAAAGTAGAGTAATTGAAAAATGCAATAAGAAAATGAATACAAACATTTGAAAGTATGAAATTGTACATTTTATGAGACATACATGTATATATGTGATATTAAAACATAGCTAGATTATTTGGTGCCCACCAGAGAACCACCATTTAAGATAATTTGTTTTGAATGTTTGTAAGTTGGAAGAATTTCTTATGTTTAAAGGGAGGGAGTTCCAAAATTTTGAGCCTGAATATGATAGGGATTTTCTGCAGAATTCAATTCTTGGTTTGGGGACTAAAAGAAGTTTTTGTTCATATTATCTTAATGATTTATTTTCTGTATTTGTAAAAAGATTTTGCATATAATCAGGGAGAAGATTGTTTAGGGACTTGTATACTAAAATGGCCTTTTTATAATTCACTCTATCAGAGAATTTCATCCAGTTCAATTCAGAAAATAACTCATCAGTAGGCGCATCAAAATCTTGATCAAGTATTATTCTTGCTGCACGTTTTTGAAATTTATACATGTCGTTTAAGAGTTCCTTACTGCAATTACCTCAAATAGTGCAACAATAGTCTAAATGAGGAAGAATGTATGCATTAAAGAACATTTTCCTAACTTGAAGATTTAGAAATGGTTTAATTCTCAGAAGTAGATATAGTAAGGAATTGCATTTATTCAGCGTCATCTTGACATGTGTTTTCCAATTAAGTTTATGATCAACATGGACTCCTAAAAGTTTTTCTGTTTCTGAGAATTGAATGCTTTCATCTTGCAGAGTGATGTTGAAATCACTAGAATTATTAATGATATTGTGGATATTATGTGAAGGGGAAATAATCATTGCTTTGGTTTTTTTGGCATTTGGAATCATTGAATTCTGGTACACCATTGTTGAATAGAGTCAAGGTCAGACTGAAGATTTATACAGATTGAATTGATAGCTTGTCCAAATACTGTAATGGAAGTATCATCAGCAAACATATTTGAAATGGAATGTGATAAGTGCAAAGGCATGTCATTTATGTAAATAATGAAAAGAAGAGGGCCTAAAACTGAGCCTTGAGGTACACCAGATGTAACATCTTGAGCATTAGAGTATTTTCCTGACACACATACTTGTTGTGAACGATTACTTAAATATGATCTGAACCAAGAAATTGAATTTTTATCTATTTTATACAATTTTAGTTTTTTTAATAACAATTCATGATTGATTAAGTCAAATGCTTTTGTAAGGTCAAGAAATATTGTCCCTATAAGTTTCTCTTCATTTATTGCTTTAATCCAGTTGAGTTAGAGCCGTTTCACATGAATAATTTGTGCGAAAGCCAGATTGATTTGGTTGAAAAAGAGAGTTAGCTTCAAGAAATGATTTTAGGTGATCACTAACATGTCTTTCTAGAAATTTTGACAGGACTGGTAGTATTGAAATTGGTCTGTAATTGCTTACTTCATTCTTATTGCCCTTCTTATGTATAGGTGTAACTTTTGCTTTTTTTAATATTGAAGGAAATATGCCATTTGATATACTGAGATTAAATATCTTTTTTAAGGGTTTGGAAATAATTTTAGAACTCATTTTAAGAAATTTAGGTCCTATACCATCTAGACCAGTTGATTTTCTGAAATCAAGAGATTGAAGTTCTTTGATTATGAATTGTTCAGTAATTTCTGGTATTGTAAATGGAGAATCAGTCTTTGAATGCATTTCAATAAACTCATGCAGTTTTATTTCATCTTCTTGTAATAAATTTGAACAATTTGCTGGAGCAGATTTAAAAATATCAATGAAATAGTTATTGAATACTTAAGCTGTTTTTAGTCTGTAATTTTATTTCCATCTTCATCTTGAATATAACTTGTCTGGTGATTAGAAGATTTCCCTGATAATTGTTTGAGATTTTTCCACATTTCTTTAGCATTGTTTTTATTGTTATTTATTGTTTCTGAGTAGTAACTTTTCTTAGAACTGGAAATCAGGTTTTGAATTTTGTTTCTCCAATACTTATAATCTTCATTATTATTTATTTTTTTAGCTTTATCTCTTTGTTTAGAGGCATGAAGAATATCAGGATTGTACCAGTCTGGAAGATGTGTGTGCTTTACACGTTTTCGTTTTAGAGGGGCATGTTCATTTAATACCTGACTAAATAAAGAGTTAAAATAATCAAAGGCATCATTTGGATCTTCAAATATTTCTATCAATGAGCAAGGCTGTTGTTCCAGAGATTCAAGAAGGAAATTCTTTTTCATCATTTTTTTAACATTACGGTACTGTATTATCTGTTGTTAAGATTTTTATAATTGTATTTGAAATTGTGCGGGTGAAACAGATTGGAAAATTATCATTAATTAACAACTGAGTGATAGTAATTTTAGAAATATTATGAGTGAAATTTGTATAAAGGTGATCTATTATGGTCTTTGATGTTTTAGTTACTCTGGTGGGTTCTTTTTTAAATTGAAACTGTTAGAAATATTATTCCAACAAGTGTTGTTAGTAGATAGTGTTAGTGGATCATAATTATAGTTGAAATCTCCAGTTAAAGTAATTTCCTTGTTTTCAATATATATCTTATCTAATATTTGTTCTAAATCCAAGTTCCAGTTTGCAGGTGATGATGGGGGTCTGTAAATATATCCTAATATAAACGTTTATTTTTGTTGATTGTTCTTGATTTCAAGCCAGATGGCTTCAATGTTCTCTTTTTGTAAATCACTCCGCGGAAAACAAGAAAAATTTTCATTAACATATAATATAAGTCCACCCCCATTTGTTTTCCTGTCCATTCGAAACATTTGATATCCTTTAAACTGGAATTCATTATCTGAGAAGCTGTCATTTAAAAATGTTTCACAAAGTCCAATAATGTCTAGATAACGATGAGTATGCAACAACATTTTTAATTCATCCAGTTTAGGATACAGATAATGTATATTAAGATGGAGAAATTTCATTCCTTGTTTGGATAAAAAGTTGGGTTCTTTAAAGCTAGAAGGGCTGGTTTGGTCTATAGTGTTATTATCTGTTTTATCATAATTTTTGTATTTGTTTTCAAAATTAACACTATCAATATTAAAATAATTGGTATTTGAAGATTCTTTATTGTCTGGAAGGACTGT